AACATTTTTATAATACCAAATACTTTAATTTTATTTTTCAAACTAATTTCTATATTTTTGTCATTTATAGTATAAAGTTTTCCATTATGTATGAAATTTCTAATATTTTTTTTTATTAAATATAATATAATTTAATAATTTCCTTTTATTTTTAATTTACAATTCCAACTAAATTTTGTTTTCAAATTTTAAATTTATAAATTATTAATAATCACTGATTCACTGATTAATCAGTAAAGTTTAATTTAAATTTAAAATTTAAAATATCAATTATTTTATGTGAATTTACTTTTATATATGAACTTAAAAAGTATTTTTAATACTTTAGTTATAAATTAAATATTGAGTTTGTTTTTTATTGATCAAAATTGACTGTATTTTTGACATCATATAATTGATTGTGTTTTATAACAGTTAATCAATTTAAATTATAATTTTAAATAAATTGTAAGTACATTTATGCTGTAATAAATTATTCAATAAAATATTAAATTAAACTTAAAAGTATTTTAAAATAAGTAACAAATATAATATTGATAATAACTTAATAGGTTATGTAGGTGTGCTTAATATACAGGTATATGTGGCATACCTATATTATACTGTATATTATATAAATTTTATAAATTATACATTTATACTCTAAACTTTTCCATTATATATCATATTTATAATATTTTTTATTTAATATTATATAATGTGATAATAATATTAGTTTAGTATTAGTATTAGTATTACAATATTTTTTAATTTTTAATAACAGGTTTTTTTGTTGTTTTATTTACAGTTACATCACATTTATTGCACATTTATATTTGACATGTAATTTATAAATAGTGAAAATATACTGTAAATCAACTCATAGTCTAAATCATTGGTTTTGTTTATAACAAAACTACAGTTTTATGAAAGAATAATAGAAAATATATGTGTTTTGTTATCTCCTAAATACATGCCTTCAATAATTTTCATATTTTTATGCACTCATATAATTTATATGATATAAATTTAATTGATTGTCAAACATTTGTTTTAAATATTCAATATTAAACTGGACTTTGGTTTTTATACGATATACAGTATAATATGTATTTCAAATCACTTATAAAATCCATTTATAATAACATTAATGATGCAAAGTTTGCAAACAAATGTGTTATAAATATATTTTACTATAAATTTTATATATAGTATTTTGTTGGTTTCTCTTCAAATGCTTAATTTAATATTATTTTTAATGTTTACATATTATAGTAAATTTATATTTTCAAAATTGTACATAAAATTTGTTATATACCGGCTTATATTAACAAGTCTGACATTTATAATAATGTATTTATATGTACAGTATTATTGAAATACGTTTATATCTTGTTTTTTAATATTTATACTGTATATTACATATTATATATTATATTTATTCGTCTAAAATCAATATTGATTTATAGATTCACATAAAAATGTGTGTGATTTTGACGGATATGAAAAACTTAAATATTTGTTTTGAAAATAAATTATCTAAAACTTTCGTTTTCTCCACATTGTTATAAGATATATATATATATATATTAAACTGATATCATATTATTAGACCTGATATCCTCTAAATATATAATATTATTAAATGAGAAAAAATTATTCTTAAAATATAGGGTTTAATATATTGGAGTCTATCTAAAAATTATTATTATTATTATTATTATTATATAATAAATTTGATGACTAACTATTACTGCGGCAAATATATTTCGAGACAAATTGTAATATGAAAACTTAATAGATTTTTCTGCATTCGGTTTAATAATTAAAAATTATTTTTTTATGGTATTAAATAGTAGAGATATTCATTATTATTGTTAATTTTTAAAAATATTTTATAGTATAATAATTAAAGTTTTATAATGCTACAAAATTAGTAACCTCTATTTTTAGAATTGTATAATTTATAAAATCTAAGAAAAACTATTAATCCTGATAAAATAATAAAAGTATTTTTATTTTATTAGATTTCTGACAATTAAAGAATTATTTATGAAAAATTACAAAAAAAATACAATTTATACTTATTTCTAAAAAACGAAAATAAATTTTAAAATGTTTTTGTTATTTATTAAAATTGGATTATTCTAATAAATTTTTTAAAATGATTAAATATTATATTATGTTGCCTGCTTTTAAGAAAATAATAAAATAATTTTTTATTATTGACGAAAATACCAAACATTATTAAAAATTAAAATTGTGCTATTTTGGAAGACAAATTTAGACCTAATTTTAGATAAAATTATTTATTAAAAATTGTAAGCATTTGATAAACTTACTGATTTTTACTAAAATATAAACATCAAATATTACTTTTAAAATTAATATTTTTTTGTTTAAATTTATTTTTATTTTAAACATAAAAATATCAAAAAAGATTACTGTTTTAAAATGTCATCTATCAAATATTTTTGTAAATAATTCCGAAAACTTTTTAGACAAAGATATTAAACTACTATTATTTTGATAAGTGATAATCATAGAAAATATGTACATTAAAACAAAAATATAAAACATTCTAATATTCGAATTATTTTAGAAAAACTTAGTACAAAGATTCTGTCTCGAAATTTATTAGCCACAGTAATACATAATATTTTTTAATTATTATTTTAAAAGTAATACGATATTAGTTATTTTTAAACAATTATTTTAATTACAATAATAGTCTTAAACATGTCGTTACAGTATATTATCATATCATATGTCGACAAAATAACTCTATTTTTAGTATACACTATAAACTGATTAATAGTTTGAGTCTAATTTGATGAGTAGACTAATGATTTTTTTTACAATAAAATGATTTTTAAAATAAATATTAATTGTGTATAATATGACAAAATATTTATTTATATTAAATGATTTCTGACAATCTCTAATAACTATGAAAAATAAATTATAGAAATATCAAATTGTGTTTATTTAGATGAAAATTTTTAATTATTATTATATCAATATTATGTATATTTCTTAAAATATAAATTGTTTATTTAATTAGATTAGTTTTAGATTCAATAGTAATAATTTCTTTTTTATTAGACAATGAAAACATATAAAAATACATATAAATTATTATCATTTGGCTAATATATTTTTAAAACATTTTATTTCATTAGACATGATATTTAAAAAAAAATTATATTAATTAACCTAAATAAAATTTTATTTTTTATTTCATTAATTAAGTTTTCTTGAAAATTGTTGTTTATTTATTAAATTTAAATTAAAATATAATATAATATATAAAGTGTTTTTAGTGAAACTTAGATTATGTATTACTACTCATAACTGTATACTATAAACACATTAATTTTTGAATCAAATATAAATATATGAATATTTATAAGGATTATTCAGAAAACAAATATTTGTTTACATTAAACTAATTAATATATTTATTCAGAAACTTAAGGCGTTGTTCACATATTACGTTCGCACTTGAGGGGAGGTGGGGGGGGTTAGCCAAAGCGAACTTTTGCGAACGAGGGGGAGGGGAGGGGTATAGTCTTTAAGAACGTTCGCATTTAGATAATATTTTATTTCTTGTGGTGGGGGGTAGCGGTTAGGGACATGCGAACGTAATTTTTTAGATAAATACATGCGAACAGTTGCGAACATAGGGGAGGGAGGGGGTCTAAATTTCTTTAAAAATGCGAACGTAATATGTGAACCACGCCTAACCAATATTTATAACAATTTTATATAAAACTACACTAATTCACTAATTAATCACAATTTTAATTTACTAATTTAAATTTCTAATTATAGTAAACATTTAAATTAAGTTAAACTTACATATTATTTTTTTATTTGAAAATTTTAACAATAATTTTAAAATGTTTAATAAATAAAGGGGAGATACTATTTTTAATTAAATTATTCCCAAAACATTTTTGTATATGTTTTGGTTATATTAGATTTAATAATTACATAGAAAACTAATTATTTATTAATAATAATATCTATAAAGATAACACCTTATAATAATAAATATTTATATTAATGTTGGATAATTAGAAAATTTCAAAATATTTGTAAAAATGTTTATATATTATTTACTCACTGAATATTTATTATAGTAAATAAATAAAAATTTAGAAAATAATGTAAAAATATCTTTTCTGATAAAAAAAATTTGTAGAATATTTAATTTTATAAATTTTTTACAAATTTATTATTGAAATTTTAACATTAAAAAATTAATAATTATGAAATTTGTTATAATATTTTTATCGTATTATTTATGACTGTAATATTTAATAAAAAATACATAATTTAAATTAAATTATTATAATTTTTGTTTTTTAAATGCTTAACACTTAATGTAAACCAGTATTTTAATTTTAATTAAATATTTTCTAAAAAATTATTTGTTTGATATTTAGTAAATTTCTAGTTATCCAACACAACATCAGAACATTATATCAATATATTATACACATATATCATAAATTTATATTAATATATAATATTATTTTATATAATATAATATTACACTTTTATAAACTTTTATTATAATAAATTTGGTTACATATTTATTAAATTATTTTCACTTGATTTAGCTAATTTAAGTAACGTTTAATATATATATATATAATTAAACCGTATATTATACACTAATACAGTATTTTTACTGTTATTACAATACAAAAGTAGTGTACAACATAAASAGTATAATTGTATTATTATTAATAACATTATATTTTATTAGACCACTTAAACAACTGAATGTGGATTCATTTATCTATAAATATATATATAAATATTTGTTTTTATAGTTGTATGGATACATTACATTATAAATATATACTGTATAATACCTGTATATATGTACAGTCATATAATACTATGAATGTGTATTATTTACTCACATAACATAGTATAGGTTTTTATTAACAATACATTGTACTAATAGGCTTTTTGTATAATATAACTGTATATAAAGTAACAGTAAATCAATTATAAGTTATTTCGTGCGAGTATTGAGAGTCACTTAATTCAAAATTGTTGTTAAAATTGAAATCATTGAATGAACGAAACATCTTTGGTTTGATCCGTCGGATTAGTTTCCATAAGTCATTCTGTAATATATAACAAAATAACATCAAATCATTTATTTAAAAAAAATAAAATAAAAAAATACATTTCTTAAAGTGATAATTTGACAATATTTTTGCAAATAGCAAATTTTAAACATATTTGCGGTATTTTTGCTTTTAAAAAATAAAATAAATTATTTACAGTACATTTAAAGCATTTTTTATAATAACATTTTGGCTTAAATAACATTTTGGATAAATATATGTTGAAAGTAATAAATATGATAAATGATGGATGAAAATATTTTACAATTGAAATATTATGTAAAAAATAAGTTAGAAAATTGGTATAGAAAAAAATTAGAATAATTTAATAGAAAAATATTTAATTTAAATATAATATCTAATATTTTTCTTATTACATAAACATTATTTTTAAAAATTTTGTTGGGTATAATAATAAAGTACATTTTTAGTTATCTTTTCAATGGTTTAAATTATATACTGTATAATATTAGACTTTATATTTCAATTCAATATATTTAAGTATTATAATTATAGCATTATTTAAAATTGATTATAAAATATATACAATCATTGTACAAAACAATCTCAAATTTAAGAGTAAATATATTATAAACTAATAGTTAGATTTTTATGATTTATATTATTTTGAATGAAGAAAATCTTTCACTAAATTTAAAATAAAATTTTCAATAAATTATCTTGAACACATTACATGACATTTTAGATTACATGAAAATAATTGAAAAATATTATAATTACAATAAATAACTTATGTGTCCTCTAGATTGACACTCCAATGGATTCCATAAAATTTGAAAAAAATTAGAATGATTTAAATTGTATCAATGCTAAGCTTAATGGAGTCCACTTGAGTGTCAATCTAATGGACATACAAATTATTGCTTGTAATTATAATGTAATTTTTTATATAAATATACATATTTTTTATAAATATTATAATTAAATGGACTAGTTTTATATTTATGCATAATTTTGTTTATTTTATAAACAGTTTTTTTWATTTTTTAAATATTAATAATTATCATTTTTGTGAAAAATACAATATGATAATAATTATTTACATAATTGTTTATACAAATTATTTAATAAAAAACATTATTTTTTAATAACTAACTTATAAAATATAAAATACATTATGATTGTACTAATTATTATATTATTAGAAATTTATTTTTAGACTTTTAATGATAATTATTTAGAATTAAAAAATAATAATAATTATGTTTAATTATAATTACATGACTTAACTACTGTACAAAAAAATTAACAATTTAACAATTTTTGTAATAGGATTAGATAATCAATGATTTGTTTGATTTAGAAATTAAAAAAAATATTACCGCATAAATATACAAAGATTACATTTTTTATTTTTCCGCATCAATAAACATTTTTTTTATAAAACTTAGATATATTTTTGGAAATGTTAATAAAATTATTAAATGTAATGATTATGTGGTTGAAATGGTTTAGTTTAAAAAGATATTAAGGTTAATGCAATTTAGTATAGTATTAAAATGTGTACTCTATATACGGGTACTGTATAAATATTATTAAAAATATTATTTTATTTATTTATTATAATTCTCGAAAAAATAATAAATAGTTTTATTTATAATATTTGTTTGCATTAAAAATATTGTCAAATTACACATCTTTTGCATTTATTATACATTAATAAAATATATGTATTTAATAATACACGAAAATTTGATGACATATATGAATAGATGAGTGGATTAATAAATGAATGGCTCATTGATAGCCAATGACTGGCAAAATATAGGCCGACATAGAGATTGTATTTGAGATCAGTGTCCAAACTGATGGGTATCGACCATACAATCAAATTATACATTTGTATGGGAAGCCAACAAATGGCAAACATTATGACTATCAATATCAACATTTTGACGACCTATCAATTAAAACAAAGTTAATTACTTATTAGTAAATATGTACAGTATTTCAGCTCAATTTGCGATTTTATAATTGAAATTTACTTAAGTTATAGTTAATATATAAAGTTATGTAATATGTTAACTGAAAAATATTGTAAATAATTTACTGATTAAAATTCTGTTTGTTTTAATCTTATGAATGATATAATAAAATATAATGTTTTCAAATATAAATTATTTTACTATTAAATAAACTGTAAAAATTATATTATTTATACTATATTTATTTTTTTTAAATGACAAATTTTATCTTAAATATTATTTTATAATTTATAAATTAAATAAGTTTTTTTAAAAAGTTAAAGCAAACACTATTAGTAATATAGATTTATATTTAAACTATTATTTAATCTGATAAAAGCAATTTTATCTATACATAAACAAGTTTTGTGTGTATGTGCAGTAAATACAGTATAATGCATAGATAAACTACAATATACAGTATATATATATATACTGATATATATATATATATATCAATATTATAGGATAATAAATTATTTCATAAATATACAGTATATATTATATTATATGAATATAATTTTATTGTAAAAATACTAATAAAATAACGTTTTTTTTATAAATCAAATAGTTTTTTCTATTGAACATTATAATTGCTATGACATTCATAAGTAAAATTTATATTATACTTATATATAGTATTTATTATAATTTAGACAAAAAAGCAAATATTTAACAATAATAAATAATTGACATGTTTTCAAACAATATTTATGAGCAAAATTGAATCAACAAAAATAAAATAAAAAAACTATTTTATAGTATATCCAATAATAAACTATAGTAAACTAACTAAAAATAACTAAAATACAATTCAAATTGATTGATACAAACAAAAATTGCAATGTATTGCCTAAAGTATAGTACAATCAACTTTACTTTGTAATTGGATCCCTGGCTTATGTTTTAAATTAGATTACGTTAGGATATATTGTATTTTAATTATAGTATTTATGATATCAATTATTTATAATTTATTTACCAGTATTTGTATACTTAAATGCTAAATAATTATGCTTGAATATTGGAGCACTACTCTAGTATACAGTGTAGTGGCATTTAAGGCAAGTTAATACATGTAGTTATATTAATACTGTAATAATAATAATAATAATACATGTACTGTAATCTATTCTACATTATTATGAATAAAATTTGTATACTGTTTCAAAAAACAAAAACAAATACTTAACACTAGTTTCAAAATAAAAAAAAATAATTGCAATTTTGACCAAACTTACACACAGTTTGTTTAACATAATATAAGTTTTATATCAATATAAAAATGTTATTATAATTTGAATAGACTAATCATTTTTATGTTTGTTATCATGTCTTACAAAATATATTAAATGGTTTTTTTTCTTATTTTATAACAAACATTAACACTTGAAATATCAAATTTGTTTTTTTCAAATTAAAATATAAATAATTAGTAAATAAAAATAGAAGAATCTCAATAATATTGCACAACACTACACAATAAAACATTTAAAATATTTTTAATAATTTTTTTTATAAAATATTAATTAATTAAACTAATAAAGTTAATATTATTAATTATTTTTTTAAAAAGTTAATTAATAAATTATTGTATCATATTATTAAATTGTTAAACATATATTATAATTAAGAACATTAAAAATTAAATCTTTACACAAATAGTATATAATTGAATAAATAAAAAGTGATATTAAAATAATTAGTTTTATTATACAAATTTAATTAAAACTCAACTTATAATGTTTTTTATACAAAGATTATTTAATCTTCTTTTAATAATAATAATAATTATTAATTAAAATAATAAAACTTAACAAAATAAATTAGTTTTTAAATATATTTTATTAATTATATTAAATATATTTCATAGAAAAATTTGTAATATCATATTTAATCGCATATTATTGCCTAATATTTTATATATTACTTTTAATTATAATGAAATTTGATATGTATTATGTAATGTATTTTATTTTATTATATTATTAATATTTATCATAAATTTTGTTTGTACTGTATGCTCATAAATAATATACAGTAAATTATATGTAATTATTATTGAAGTGGACTAAAGTTGTAATATTTAATACTGATTTTACTTTAGTAATAGAAATAATTAACATTATATTGCTATTAAAATAATTTTTTATAAAACTTTTTTTTTACATTTACGTATAAAATATTATTATTCAAGCAATCAGGTGTATGAGTGAGTGAGTGTGTGTGTGTGTGTGTGTGTGTGTGTGTGTGTGTGTGTGTGTGTGTGTGTGTGTGTGTGTGTGTGTGTGTGTGTGTGTGTGTRTGAGAGTATTATTTAAGCTATAAATTAATTGAATAAACAAACAAAAAATCTGACCTTAATTTTGATGTTGAATTGAGTCAAATCGCGTACAATATCTGGATTCCCGGGAGTGCTGTGTTTGACTATTGTATAGCCGACAGAGCCGTAAACAAATACCAACGCAATGGCCGGCAAAGCAAATGTAAACGTGAAAACCACTGCCGTATAGAGTTTACCATCACTTTCCGACCACTCCTCCCGGCAATCATAGTAAACGTGTGGCCCGTATTGAAAGGGAACGGCCCTACTCTTGACCAGTTGGATACTAGCAAACAGTATACCGGCGATCCATATACCTATTATTACATACTCTTTGTGTGTCTTAATCCACATTAATAGCCGAAATGGATGAACAATTGCAAAATATCTAAACAAATTCAATGATTTTAATCAATAGTATTATTTTATAATTTATATAGTAATTCAAATTGAAAATATCAACTTATTATACGAAATATTAATATTTATTTGATATTAATTTAAAAGCATATAATATCTGATATCCTATATCCAAAAAATTATAAATTAATTTATTGAATAGTGTTTTGTTAGGTTATTATAAGTATAAAATTCAATTAATCCAGCATTGAAAATTAATACTATTTCAATAAAATCTTTAGTATAAATCCCAGTAATTTGATTATAACATAATACAATATTTTACAACAAAAATAAGAACTTTTCAATAGATTGCAAGTCAACAAATTGATGAATACTTTACTTAAAAGTAAAGTATAGTATTTTACAAATACAGTAAATAAAATATATTAAGTTTATATATAATTTTGTCTGTACTATACTATTTAATATATAATGTTAGTAATAGTAATTAACGCTTATGTAATTAATATTTATTATTTTGATCTTTACTAAAATGTTTGTTCATGACTTTCTACAGTTTTAATATGAATGTATAATGTGTTTGATTAGCAACTAATTAGTGGTATTTTTTTTATTTATTTATAGTATTTTTTGTATTACATGCAATACTAATTTAATGAAAATAATTAATAGTATATCAATATTAATTCATTAAAAAAAAGTTAACTAAGTACTGTATAAAACTAAAATGTTAACACAAATACAGTTATTTTATACCAAAGTGTTGTGTGTTAACATAAAATATGATAGAAATTGCATTTTTCATTGATGAAAATAATTGGTTTAACAAAATTACAATGTTTTACATATACATTAATACAAGTCACTTAACATTTTGAAATTATAATTTAAAGTAAATATTAAAATGTATTTTTTCTACATTAGATAGTTTAAGTAGAATGTAAACTATTGATAGTATTGTAGAGTATACAGTGTATACTGTAGTATAGTTTTTCTAGTGAAATAAATTCATTATTTTATACATGAAATATTTTATATAATAGTTTTAAATTAATTTTTTAAAAATAGATTTTATCAAAAAATTGTATTTAATTAGAATTTAATTTGAAAAAAATTGCTAAACAAATCTTGGATACAATAATAATTTTTTATTGCAATTTCCGAAAGAAATGTCTGTCTTTGTATTGATCTTATTCTACAATTTCTTCTTAAACTGATTTTACCATTAGATGATAATTAAACATTTAATTGGGTTTTTTGATTGTATGAGTTAACAATTTATTAAATTTTTATATAACTTAAATGATTAGTAAATTCTGGTTTATTATTGGTTGAATAGCGCGCGCAATAATAATCGGTCACTTATGGGTGAAAATAGCAAATATTTGACGGGTTTTAAAAGGATTAACACATATTGTTTTCTCAATAGTTTTTAATATTTTTTAATAAATTATAATTATTCTTAATAACTAAATTTTATTACATATTTGTTAATTTTTTGAACTATTTTCAAACAAACTTTGAAAAAAGTTTGTTTTCTGAAATGTTTGTGTGTGTGTGTGTGTGTCTGTCGTACCAATATTTTTGTCACAATATGACTCATGGACTTATGATTATCAACAATAAATACTTTAGTTATACTATTATTATACGAAATAATTTAAGCCATTAAAGTTTGTTATTCGTGGAAATACTTAGTAGCATTTTCAACTGGTTTTCATTACATTCAATTAAGTCACAAAACTAGACATTTTAATAATAATATTTTGAATTAAGTTTTTTAATAAATATTATTTTTCAATTCTTATAATACTTTTATTGTATAATAAGTATAGTATCTCGAAATTAGTGAGAATGTAAAACATTTGTTTTATTAACTTATAAATTATATCGAGATCTTATAATATAATTTTAAAGTAAAATTATTATAGAAATTTTATTTAAATATTAATTTATCTATTACTATACATATTTAAAATATTTTGATAAATTATTATTATTATAAAATATTATAAAATATTTACTCCGTATATTAAAAATGTAAATATCTATAAAATCTTTAAATAATTATTTTTAAATTATTTTTAAACTTCATGTAAATTAAATTTGAATTATATCTATTATTTTAAATTAGAAATATGTACTTAATTTTATATGACATTTTTATTAGTAAAAAGTTTTTAAAACTCAATAGTTATTTTTTAATTAACAATATTTGAATACAATAACAACAACATATGATATAACAAATAAATAATAAATCAAATATAGTTTTTGACAATATGTATATATATTTGTATATTTATATATATATCATAAAAATATTTATTTTTAGATATCAATTATAGCATTTTACTAATTAATTTGTTTTGTTAAAATAAAAATTTTATTAATTTATCTTATTAATAAATTATAGTTTGCCGCTAATTAAATTATATTTATAACAAATTAATTAATTTAAATGTTTAATATAATGTTATTATTTAGGTTGTATAATTAGTATAATTAAAATGTTAACAAATATTTTTAATATTTATTATGTTTTAATTATAACAAATCATACAAACTTTTTTTTAAATTATATATTTTTGTTTTATATTTATACTATTTTATACATATTTAATCTATATTTTATAAAAATATTAAAACCTTTACATTAAATTTTATTTGATATATTCAAGTATTTGATGTATTCATGCAGTCAAATGTTAATATTAAATTAAAAATGATTTATAGGCTTACTGTAGATAATTATTGTTTAAATAAATTGTGAGATTTTATGAATTTGATGATTGAATTCTATTGATTCTTTTGAAATACTCAATATATATATATATATATTATATGTTAAATAAACATTTTCTGTATTGAATTAATTGTATTTATTAAAAATATATTCACGATTTCATATGAAGTATTATATAATAAATAAAAGACATATAAATAGTAATAAAAACTGAATTATAATTAAACTATAATATTGTTTAACATCTTTTGTGAACTTTGTAAACATTTCAAAATACAATATCATAATTTTAAATCTAAATATTTTTAAAAATATTAATCATAAATATAATATCCAATGAATACTGTAACAATAATTTCAAACAATATGTAAATATTGTTAACTAAGTTATAATTAAAAATATTATTTTCTATAGTTTTGATTCTTGCTAAAATAAATTTGAAAAATCTTTATGTGTTTGCTTATAACATTTTATTTGAAAAATTTTGAACTATTTTGAAATTTATTAAATATATATACCTTTTTAGTGTTAAAGTAACTATCTGTATATTTAACTACTGTTTGTGTATTTTATGAATTACGTTTTTGCGTGACATAAATTATATACTGTATATATATTTGAGTAGATTATTGAATAATATTATTCAACATTTTTATCAAATTTGTTAAAAGGCATATGAGTTATTATTGACAGTTTTTATATACTGTATTCAATTGAATAATAAGCATATTAAATTGAATCAACTTAATATTATATATATTTTTTGTAAATTTAAATTCATCATATTTCTAAAAATATAATTTATTTTTATTGTGAAATCAAGTTTTAAATTATTAAAAAGCTATTTGAATAAAAGCTTTTTAAGTTAATTGTGTTTTTAAAGATTTATAAACTATAATATTCAATATTTAAGCATAAATTCATTATTTAAATTTTTTCTACTGATTATATTAGTTATAATATATATATATATATTTTAATTTATAATATCTGAAATATGTCATAAATATTTTTTTGAAATGTTTGTAATACATTTGAAATATATTTTTTAAAGCATTTCTTTAAATACAATATAATATGATTTTAAAGTTTTCCAATTTTATTCTGAATTATTAATTAGATTTGTTTCTATTTAGACATTAAATAATAATATTAAAAAAATTACAAAACTATAAAATATAAGAACTATAAAGATTATAAAATTATAATAAGAAAATAAATATCAAATGTATTAAATTTATAAATAACTTTTTATTACTAAATAATTTATGGAATATTCTTTAAAGATGTTTTTTATTTTTATCACTTATCTATTAATTAATGTAATAATATATATATATAATACCAACAAATTTAAATAATAATATTAAATACCTATCGATTCCAATGGCAGTTAGCGTATAGACCGATATGAACACAGAGCATAGTTGAGCAAACTGTACAAAAGGGCACAGGTATTTGGGAAATATCCAACGGCCCAACATAAATATAGTATAAGAAAATGGTATGGAAAATAGGGACATCAATATATCAGATATCGATAGATTAAGTAAAAATTTCCAGATCTCCGATGATATGCGTTCCCCTTTTGCCAACACTATTATCGTAATGATATTACTGGCCAACGATATGGTGGCCGTAGCCGAGTATAACATTATGAGAAACACCTGCCACTCATCGGACAGGGCTTCCAGTGAGGGAAATGTCTCATTTGTATTGTTAAAGTTTTGTGATAAGTAGATCTGATCCATTTGAGTGATCAACAAATTACTTTTAATTAGTCAACAATAAARTTATTGTTAACGTTTTGGTTAGTAAACAATTTTTTATCAGACAAATTTTTTTATCATTAATATTTTTTATACTTAAGTATTAACGCTCTGAAGTCATTCAAATAATTTTTAGTTATTGTTATTAAATTAATTTTAGACCAATCAGAATTTAATCTATTATTAAGTTTTCAACGTTTTAGAATAATTACAAATATTTTAACATATCTAGCTAAACCTATAAATGTATGATTATATTTAATGGTATATTTACAGGTCATATTATCATATAATGGTAATATTTACTGAAGAAGTTGAGGAATAGGTCATATTATCATATAATGGTAATATTTAAAGAAGTTGAGGAATAGGTCAATTATCATATAATGGTAATATTTACTGAAGAAGTTGAGGAATAGGTCATATTATCATATAATGGTAATATTTACTGAAGAAGTTGAGGAATAGGTCATATTATCATATAATGGTAATATTTACTGTTGAGGAATAGGTCAATTATCATATAATGGTAATATTTACTGAAGAAGTTGAGGAATAGGTCATATTATCATATAATGGTAATATTTACTGAAGAAGTTTTTATCATATAATGGTAATATTTACTCATATTATCATATAATGGTAATATTTACTGAAGAAGTTGAGGAATAGGTCATATTATCATATAATGGTATATTTACTGAAGAAGTTGAGGAATAGGTCAATTAATATAATGGTAATATTTACTGAAGAAGTTGAGGAATAGGTCATATTATCATATAATGGTAATATTTACTGAAGAAGTTGAGGAATAGGTCATATTATCATATAATGTAATATTTACTGAAGAAGTTGAGTATTATCATATAATGGTAATATTTACTGAAGAAGTTGAGGAAAAGGTCATATTATCATATAATGGTAATATTTACTGAAGTTGAGGAATATGTCAAATATTTCATTTATTTTTCAGTCATTTTTACCATTAGATATAATTGGATCAGTAGATGATAATTGAGAGATGATAATTGGAGTCTTCACCATTTTTACCATTAGATGATAATATCTAATTATCACAATCTTCAGCCATATTAGATGATAATTGTCTAATTATCACAATCTTCAGCCATTTTTACCATTAGATGATAATTGGATCTAATTATCACAATCTTCAGCCATTTTTACCATTAGATTAATTATAATTATCACAATCTTCAGCCATTTTTACCATTAGATGATAATTGGATCTAATTATCACAATCTTCAGTTTTTACCATTAGATGATAATTGGATCTAATTATCACTATCTTCAACTATTTTTATTAGATGATAAAAACCACTATATGTGAGCATCACTTATTATAAGACATACATAAATTTAATTCTTAATAACTTAAAGATAAAATTAAAATTCAATAATATTTAATTTTTTGTTCGATTCATTTTGATTGGTCAATTGGCTCTGTGCCAATGGCACTGTTTTGTCACCAAAGGAAAACGTCGATTTGTGCCGATGGCACACGTTTGTTGTCAGCGCGTTAAAAAATATATAAACAGTATTTAGTTCTATGAGTTTGTTGACAATAAAATCACGTAAACTATAAGTTTTATGGTATATTCATATGAAATAATGTCAGATAACAGTAGAATAAAGTGAGAGTTCAGACCATWCAGTATATGTGGTTATCTTTTTCAACGAAACAGAGAGGAGAGAGATTTGGAGTACTTTTCTTTAATAACCGATCAATAAAGTATATATATATATATGTGTGTGTATGTATATATATATATATATATATATGTGTATGTATGTGTGTTTGTGTGTATATGTCTATGTGTCTGACATACCATTGCTGGCGTTAATAGCGTAGTGGCACTGATAACGCCTCTGTATTCTGAAGATGCTTGTAGTGCACCGGTGTATGTATTCACACATACAATGTCTACAGTATTTAGTTTATGTATTATTTTTATTATTTTCAAAACCATATATATATATATATTAGATATTCATTTGCATTTATAAAATAATGATAATTTATTTTAATTTTAAAAATTATACATTAACTATAAAAACGAAAAATATAATATGAAAATTAAAACAACAAAAACCTAAAGAGTTGTTTGTACTTCAAAAGTCCTTATTATATATATTTATTACCAAAATAATTACATTTTATACATTAAAAATAGTGTACTATTATTATTATTACAGTATTATTAGATATTTTTATCAATTGCTAAAAGCTATTGGTTTCAAAATGAAACTTCCGGTCAAATATATAAAACATTAAACGGATATATTATATAATAATTATCAAATATAATTCAAAGATATAATTTAATGTTATTTTTAAGCAGTACTTAAAAGATATTATATTTAATACTTATATATTGCATAATTATTTGTTTTTATTAATATAATTAATATATTGCGTAATACATTTAGTTATTCAAAGTAAAAATAATTTATTTAGTTTAACATTAAACTAAAAATATAAATCAATTATGAATAAAATTTTACAAAAGTTATTATTATTATATATTTATTTTATAAATAAGAATCCCATTAATATAGTAGTGTGTGGTATATATTATGTATTATTAGTAAATTATTATAATAACTATAAATATGATGATCCCTTAGTATAACAATAAATTTTAATTTCTATAGAAAATTTTTTCTAAAAAACTTTCTAGAAATTTTCTAATAGAAATTTATTTAAAAATTTCTATTTGCCCATCTCTATTATCTTTTTATACTTTTTTTTAATTGTAATGTTAAACATTTATCTTAAAAGCATTTATATAAAATATTAAAATAATAAACATAAAGAATATTACTAATAAATACTTATATTTCATTAAAAATAAATAATTTTGTATAAAAAACTTAAAAGTAAATTATTAATTTGTATGAAAGCTTTTTTCAATATTGCAACTAAAATAAAATATTATATTTCTTAAAAAAATATCAAAAAGTTTGTTTGTCAAAAAGTTACGCAATATATATCTTTTTAATAATTATTATCTAAAAGTATATTGAAACTGACGACACTATTCAATACATTTAGTATTACACTATTAATATATACCAACTTTTATTATTATATTTACTAATATTAAAAATAGTAATATTATATTATATAAAACCTATATTTATTCTTAATATTTATTTAATATTTATAAATGAAAGTATATTAGAATACTGTATAATGATTTGTATTTAAATAAATATAGTCAATGATTACTTTTTATTACTATAAACTTATATATTGATACTATCTTTAGTCTATAATATAATAATAAATTAAATTCTAAGATTTATTTGACAAAATGACATTCAATAAATAATAATCATAAATCAATTAAGCTGCGTTCACACTAATGCTTATCCAAGTAGACTTGACTTGTACTCAAGTCAAGTTTCAAGTAACATGTGTTCACATTGCCACACTTAAGTTTATTTAATTTTATAAAAATTAATCAAATTATTGAAATTATTTTATTAATTTTGATGTTAATTATAAAAATTAGACAAAAAAATAATTAATTTTTATTTATTAAACAATTTAAAGGTAATATTTTTGCTAGACAGCGAAGCAGGCATTTAAAACATAATAATATTTACATATTATACTTAACACTRATTGGCTAAGTTTATAAGTCTCGTGTGTTCACACTGTACTTAATGAAGTAAACTTACTTAAGAAGGGGTCACTACTGTACTTGAGTTAAGTCAAGGTAACTCAAGTAAGTACATGTGTGAACACCAAAACTTAAGTCAAGTCTACTTAGATTTTGTCCGTGTGAACGCAGCTTTAGATAATATAATAACTAATATAATATGTAAAGTATAAATACTTTATATTTGAAAATAATTTATATTTAGATATATGTTACTTGCATAAGTAATAATTTAATTATCAAATAGACTTAAATATAACATTTTTTCCATTTAGGCGTTGTTCACATATTACGTTCGCACTTGAGGGGAGGGGGTCGGCCAAAGCGAACTTTTGCGAACGAGGGGGAGGGGGGTAAAGTCTATAAGAACGTTCGCATTTAAATAATGAATGAATTTAAGGGATTAATTTTGAGTAAACTTAATCCTTTGATAAACGGTTTAATAACTAATTTTGAATAAATATATGACTTTTGAATAATATTAATTTATTTTATTATTTGATTATTTTAAAAGTGAAAATAATTTTATAAAATATTTATTTAAATGGTGGGGGGTTAAGGACATGCGAACGTAATTTTTAAATATCATTACATGCAAACAATTGTGAACATAGGGGGGGAGGGGGTCTAGATTTTTTAAAAACTGCGAACGTAATATGTGAACAACGCCTTATAGAAAATATTTACTTTCTATAAGTTCATTACTTATCATTGATAAGTTATCAAATAACTGCTGACTATTTTATGGGTCAATCTTTTGACTTTAATCCCTATATAGTAATATAAGGGATAGCACTGACCATACCTTTTATGCTCTGATATGCTATTGCTTGACGACTGCAACATATAAACTACAAATGTATGACAAATTTATAATCAAATAAAATAAAATATTGCTGTGAAACTCAGCATATGTTTTACAAATACATAATACAAAAGATTATATAAAATATTATTTAAAAGATTATGTTTTTATTAATATTTATTGTCAATTGTTATATAAATTAATACATTTTATAAAAAATTAATATATAATTATTATTATACTATATATTAATTACACTTATGTACTGTATATGTAAAGTTAAAAATGTTAATCATTGATAAAATTTAATGTATGATTTAACAATATTTTAAATTTTTTTAAATATAAATGTTTTATTAATTAAACAGATTATTACAATACTGCTAATAATGATAAATATTATAACAAATTTATTTGAATGATTAATTTGACAGTAATGCCAAATTAATTTTAATGAATTGAAAAATTGCTTTAACTTAACTAAATTTATACAAATATTCAAAATTATTAATTTTAAACGTATTTTAATCAAAAAACCTTTTCGACTCTTATCCCAATAAATCTTTCCTGAAATTTAAAAAAATGAATAAAAAAATTAAAATATTATGTCAAATTTATTTTTTTAAAATTAATTTTATGATTAATTATATCTCTACTATAATAAATCAAATATATATATTAAAAATTTTAATCAAGTTAATTAATTAGTTGTGTTGTTTTAAAAAARCAACATTAATAAAAAAATTATGTATTTATATTTTATAAATAATATATAAGTTGGTATAAATATTTTTTTCTAAAAAACTTTTATTAAATATCATATTTAAATATAAACTAAACATTAAATAAAATTATGAATAAATTATTATTATTTTTTGAAAATAACTTACAAAACAGTTCCGCCGACAACTGACACCCGTTTCTTCTTTCCCAACAAGTCTTTCCTGAAGACAATGTAATTAAAATTATTATATTAAAAGAAAATCATTAAATTAATTATTTAAAAAAATACAATTATTTGTAAATTAATTAACTAAACAATTAATACATACAATACAATTCCGCCAACATTTCGTTTACGTTTGCCTAATATGTCACGTCTGAAATATGATAAATAATTATATAATAAGGATTAATAAATTAAAGATAAAATAATTACATAATAGATTAGTTTTATATACAGCAAATAACATTTAATTAGATATCTATATAATTGCCATAAAAAAGGTAATTATTTTCTAGTAATCACAAATGTGATCACATATATCTCCAATTTTTATAAACACATATTTTATTTATAATCACATAAACTGTGATAATCTGTAATAATTTTAATTATTATTGTTAGACAATATAAACTTAATGATGACACCTAATCCAATCCAATATAATAACAGATAATCCAAATAAAACTAAATTAAATAAAATTAACAAACTTTGGTTAATGTTTTAATGTTTAAATCTATATTGAAAACTTCTCAAAATTGACAAATTTTATTTATATAATTTATTTATCAAAATCTTATCTTCAAAATCTTAAATAGTAATTTGTTATTTCTATATTTAATACAATAAAATATGAATATAATGCATTTTTATTATTACACATTGTTGAAATGTTTAACTATTTAAATTAGTTATACTATTAAAATTAATAATTAAATGTGATATTAACTTATCTAGATACTTATATATAAACTCAAATTTAAATAGATATAAAGATATAATAACATTAGATATAAATATATTTTAATATTATTATTAATGTCTATAATAAACACAAACAAGTAATAATGTCTTTTATTATCTTTAAATTATTATCTTATATTTAAACTGTTTTTAGTTTATTTTTACAGAATATTTTATATAAAATAAATTTATAAATTACATATAAACATAATTAAAATAAATTTTTTCGATTTTTTTCGATTAATAAGCAAAACTTTACTTTAATACTAAAATATACATAAAAAATTATAATAAATTAAACTCAATCAAGTTTCATATGTCTGAGCTTTATAAAAATATGACATATTTTTAATTAAAATTATTATATAATAAATATGCTATATGAGCTACTTGTCATATGCAGCAATCTACTTAAAATATCATATTTAATTAAAATATTGAAATTTTTCAATAGTCAACATAACAAAATGCGATTAACCATATATACAAAGATAATAGTTTTTAAAAAATTATTTATTACTTAATAATAATTTTATGATTAATTATAATTATTTTGTTTTTTTTCAAATAACAAAATAATATGATTAATCAATAAAATTTTGAGAAATATTTTTTTTATATCAGTTTATAGACACTATATTTCTATATCAAAAAAAACTTACAAAACTGTTCCGCCGACGGGTCCGCTGCTCTTCTTAATGATGATATAACCGTCCGGATTGGCAAACATGTCATTCAATCCGATTGAATCATCACTTTCGTCATCAAAATCTTAATCACAAATAAAAAAAATTAAAAAAACAAGTATTTAAATAATTTTTATTTGATAATTATTTTTATTTTTTAGATATATATTTCGTTCAAAAATAATTGTTGTTTATAATTTAATAATAATTATAATTGATATAATTTATCATTTTCTATAAATTATTATAATTTACCAAATGATGTGCATTCAATAATAGATAATGTAATTAGTATTACACCAAATAACAAAATTATTAGTTTATTATTTAATTTCGCAAACATATTGTTTTATAATTATGTAACTTAATAATACACTCGAATATTAATTGCGAAAATATTATTTTGGAAATTATAAGCACAGAATATAAGTTCAATATAAATATATATATATAAATTAGTTATTTATAGTTAAATATATATATTTATATAATATATATAAAATACTATAGTTATAATATAGGTGACAGAAAACTGATATAAAATAATTGCTTATGAAATTGGCTGCAAAACATATAATGATAGCAAAGTGGAAATAAGATACTGTTTTTATATATTATATATGTACGAAAAAAAGTTGATGTGCAATATTGAAACAGTTTGTGTGTGTGGACAGGGAGTTATCGGCGTAACTGTGGGGCCACACATTTACACATACATACAAACATATACAAACACACACACACACACACACACACACACACACACACACACACACACACACACCAGAGTGTCGCACGAAACGTAACTAACATTAATTTTATTAAAAATAACCTTTTCGTCTAATATTATTGCTTTTGTTGTTGTCTATGAAAACAAAATGTTTATATTATATTATTATATGAGGCATCAGGAAATTAATGAATTATATATATATATATATTAAAATATATGTCACTGTGTATAATATTGTACTATATATCACGTAATATCAATATATCTTTAATATATACAATGTATATACAGTATATATATCTAAGTTTATAAAGACGTTTAGGGGTTTAATTAAATATTGCATTTTGTTAAATACAATTTTGTTTGTATTTGTAGAGGTTTTACTGTTTTCAGCCATAGTTTTAGACCCACAATCAATAACTTAATTGTTTTTCACGACATATCCATTATTTCAGCAATACTTTCTATTTTATTAATAATTTGTTAGTTTAGCTTTTAAGGAGAGGTATATCTTAATTGAAAATAATTTGTTTAACACTGTTAAAGACATTAAATTTAATTACATTTCTACTTTTTTATACTAAAATTATTATAAGAATATATTCATTAATTAAATATTTAGCGAAACAAAAAACAAATAATCAAATTAATAGTTATAACAGATTTTAGTTTCTGTTAATAACACAGTATTAGTAAAAAAAACAATTTATTTATTTTTTATTTAATTTGCATAATATTGTATTATAAATTCATTTGTTAAAAAAACCACAATTAACTTTTATATATCTAACCATAATAAAATAAAATACAATTTTATATATTATTATACTGTATATTGATTTATAATAAAGTGTAATCTTTAAGTAACATTTTATATAAATTATAATCTTATATTCAAATAAATATACTCTATATGTATAAACTTGAATTTTCTACAGTATTTAAGATATTTTTTAATATTATAAACATGTTTTTTATCAAAACATTTTGCTTTCATTTAGTCAATTAATTTTAATTGTTTTTTGCTAAATAAATTTTTATGTTATATTATAAATGTTAACATGATTTATGGTAATTATAAACTATTTGATTTTATTTATACAAACTAAAATTATCTGACAACAAACATAAAATAAAGAAAATATTATTTTTATATTAATAATATACATAATTTAGTATAATTAGTTTTTAACCAAAATGTATATAAATTAGCCATTTATTTGTTAACTAAAATAGTTTTTTTTAACTGAAAACACGATAATGCTATTTACTAACAAAAAAATATTACCAAAAAATTATATTATATATTATTTCAATTGAATTTAACTCAATTATTTACTTTTAATGATGTCATATAAATTCATTGTGACGTAAGATAAATACTATTTATCAATATATATATATATATGCTGTAAATTCTATGATATATATATATATATATATATATATAAGATTGTATATAATATGTAATCTTAAAAATAATAACAAAAATATCATTATAACGATACTGTATTTTTTTCTTTAAAAAATTAGTCAACAAATACTGTAGGTTGAAATATATTTATCTGTAATGGACTTAATTTTATTTTATTTTTTTCTCATCTCATTTTAAGACCACAAGTATTACTAACTGTCCATAAAATTCACGATTGACTTTACAGTATATAATAATAATACACAGTATTACTTACTTTATACTATTATAATATAATATAAAAAATACATGTACTGTATTATGGTTTAACATAATTTACACTTGAATTTATTGGCCATTTAAACACTGGCTACCGGTTATTATGATTATATAACATTACTATTGATATATTATTTATATTACTAATTTATCAACGATAATTTTAAACATGTTTAATATTTATTTGTTAAAAACAAATTTATTTATTAATTAAGTCATTCAATTAAATATTTGAGTAATAATAGTAAAAATATTAATACATTTATTATACTATACATATAAAGTACAATATAGTAGAGTATAATAGTACAGTACTAATAAATATAAGCTTTTAACGTTATAAATCTACTGTAAATTGTAAGTTTAGTCATATAAAATACAGTATATCTCATATGAACATAGCTATTGATTTTGATTAAGTAAAATAAATAAAACTTAATTTTTAAAATTTTTACACACAATTAAACCGTAAACTAATATAACTGTAACTTTTAATATTAGTACAATTACTAGGTTATGTAATGTATTAAATTAGAATAGAAAAATAATAAACTTGAAATTTCTGATTATACTGTATTATTGGTTTTGTTTTTGTTTATGTAATTTAATTTTAATATATACTATACTGTATTAACATAACTTTAATCACTGATTAAAACTTCAGTTCCGTCTGATTAATAGCATATTAATTATTATTATAAACAAATATAGTATTAAATTAATCCATATTTTCGACCCAAACATATGTACAAATATAGTACAGTATATTAAGTATCGAGAGTCATAATACTTTGCTATTTGTTTCAAATTAAAGTTTTTTTAAATTTATTGATAGATAAATTTTGCCTATTTTATTATGTAAGACTTATGGGATGTAATATTATGGGATGGGATGGGATGGGATGGGATGGGATGGGATGGGATGGGATGGGATGGGATGGGATGGGATGGGATGGGATGGGATGGGATGGGATGGGATGGGATGGGATGGGATGGGATGGGATGGGATGGGATGGGATGGGATGGGATGGGATGGGATGGGATGGGATGGGATGGGATGGGATGGGATGGGATGGGATGGGATGGGATGGGATGGGATGGGATGGGATGGGATGGGATGGGATGGGATGGGATGGGATGGGATGGGATGGGATGGGATGGGATGGGATGGGATGGGGGTGAGGGTGGTGTGGCATACTTTGTACAGTATATTAATCAATAGCATTTAAGTTAATTATACATTTAAATGTGTATTAAAACGTGGTATAACTTAAAAGATATATTGAATAAAACATAAGTGATTTGATGTGCAAATGTTTGCAAATGTTTATTTGCATTTAAATACAATTTATTTCACGCGACAAATAAAAGTCAAATGAAATCTACAATCACTATTCTAAGCAATTGTTAGGCAAAATATATAAATCTATACAAATATTTATGATTTGAAATACGTTTGAAAAATTTTTTTTAAAAATTGTCGCAAAAAAATAATATAATGTCTAAATCATTATCATATATATTGTCTTTTGTCTGTTGTTGTGGATGTTGTTTCAAATCAAAAGTTAAAAAGCTATCAAAACTATTGGATAAAAACTCTGTTGACAGATATGCGACCAAATGGGAGACAATTGTGCCCCCGATGTCCGACACCGAGGAAGCGGCAGAATTTGAAAAAGAGCTGAAATCGTTGCAAACAGTGAAGACAGATATGACTGCAATGAACAATAAGATAGACTTATTTAGAGTCGTTTTGAATACTAGAAAATACGAGTTAGTGTCAGATGTGCCCATCGGGAGGGGAGGCTTTGGACAGGTATTCAAAGTGAGACACTTGAACACCAAAGAGCTGTTGGCTCTGAAGACAATGGAACTGAAATCAGGCAATCATTTGAGTCGAAATCGGTTCTTGAGTTTCGTTAATGAAGTCAAAGCCCTTAAGAAGAATCCGCACAAAAATATTATTGAATTAATTGATAATTTTGTTGTTAAACAATATTGTTTTACAATACTCGAGTTGGCCAACGGCGGTGATCTCAGTAAACGATTGAAACGAAAATATTTAGACTCCAGACAGACATACACCGAATCGGAGGCCATCGACTATTTCGGACAAATAGTTAGTGCCATTCATTTTGTACACACAAACGGCTTAACTCATGGCGATCTCAAACTGGAAAACATATTGATTGTGATCGACAAACAAAGACAAGAAACATTGAAAGTTACTGATTTCGGGTGCGCACAGGTAGGCATCAATCAACAGAATCATCAATTGAATCTAATGAATAGCGCCACCGGAACAGTAGTCTATATGTCACCCGAACAGCTAAGGGTCTACTTATGTAATAATTTGAATCGACCGGATCTATTCAAAAATCCAACTCATAATTATAATCCCTTTCGATCGGATATCTGGGCGCTCGGTATATGTCTCTATAGACTACTATTCTATGAACACCCGTATGATTATGATTTCAACAATGAATTGCAGTCATTGCCACTAATGTTGAATAGTATGAAAGCTGCGATCAATGCTCCCAAACGTTATACTAATCATGTGAGCAATCAATGTATGGATTTGTTGAGAAATTTACTTAATTATCAAAAAGATGCCCGAATTGACATACAAATGGTTGTCCGACACGTTTGGCTTAGAGATTGTCCACATTTGACATATATTTTTGCTAAAAAACAGCAACAAAAAAGAAAAACTCGTAAAAGCAAAACTAAAGCAAATACTAAAAAAACAAAATCTAAACCATAAAACAGCTTAATATTATTATTATTATTATTATTATTAATACTCGATATAATTTGAATTTCATTAGTAATATATCAATATTTTAGCTTAATTATTTATTTTTAATAATCTGTGAATTTTTAGATTATTACAGTATATTATCAATATTATACAAATATTTCTAATTTATGTATATTAATAACAAGTTTACTATACAATTAACAAACATATTGCTGTTTTATTATATTATTTTTATTATAAATTGTTAATTGATAGTAAACAACTAATATTTATAAAAAAAACTGGAGTTATTAATATTTATAATAATAATAAAATAAGTTTACATTAAGTAATTAATAATCTATTTAATTAATTTATATAATAATATGTTAATAATAAATGAAAGTCATAACATAAATTATATTTTTATATATTTTATTTTTACATTAATCACTTAATGTGATTGATTATAAATTACATTATAATTACAGAAAAAATGCATTATAAAAGTATATTAACTTAAGTGTTGCCCAGGTAGCTAAATAGATTAGGTAAATAATAGAGGTCAATTGACATTAATTTTTATATTAATTGACATAACAACTTATATACGTTTTTATCAATAATAATATTAATTATTGTAAATCTTTATACAGTATTTACTAATATTATAATCCAAATTAAAATATGACAAAATGTATTATTGTATTTACTTTCTTTTAATTAATAATAATAATATTAAATTGTTTACTAATTACCTAACAGACAGACAGTCTATAAACTTATTTGTAAAATATTTTTTTATTATAATAAAAATTTTCAAATAAGTTTTTGACAAACAAAATATTGTATTTTATACATAGTATAGTACTTTGCTTTGCTATACAATATTATTAAATATTAAATCTTTTTTATATTAAAACTTATTTTTTTAGTTTGAGACAAATGTCACAAACAGTTTACAAAATATCAATAGAATTGAATGTTCAGTGATTTCACTGATTTTACAATCAATCTGTATCTTAATATTACAATAAAATAACAAAAAATATTATTTTTGTATTGTTTATATAAACAATTTTTTTGTGTTACTAATAATAATAACAAAACTAAGAGTATATTTACTTAAAAATTATTTGAAGACTTTTAACAATAAAGTTTTAAAATTTTAAACATATAAATATTTAATTTACATTTATATCAATAAATAAATAACAATAATAATTATAAAATAATATACTGTATGCGTATTTTAATTTAATTTAGTTAAGTATTTTTTGTTGCTATAGTTATAATACAGTATAAATATTTATAGTATAAGTTATTTATAATAGTTATAATGTTTCTAAGTATTACTAATAAATATTTATTTAAATATCTAATTTTTGTAATGGCTAAATTATCTAATAATAGGTATATTTTTATAATTTTTTTAAAGTTACTATTATGAAACTTTAATATTTTATAAAACATTTGTCAATGAAAAAAAATAATGTATTAGTATTTTTAACAATAACACTAATAATATTTTAAATTTTTTTCTAAGAATATTCTATGAAATTAATATCATAAATAACAATTAGCATAACTAATAATTATTTTTAAAATATATATAAAAACTATACTTTTAAAAACTATTATACTGTAAATTGTTTTTAATTATTTAGAAAATATAACCAATAAAATATTTCCGTGATATTCAAGTAAAATATATTGTATTATATTATAAATATATTATATTTACTTAAATCAGTTTCAAATAAAATATTTAAAAAATATATATTTAACTTTATAGTAATTTTAATGGGTATTTATTATTTTTTAGACATTTTTCTGTGTTTTATTTATCATTAGGTTTTTTTTGGAGCAATTAATAATTCAAATAATAATTATAAATTTATATCTTTTACATAAAATATAAAGATATAGAAAAATATCAAAGAATATTTTTGCAATAATATTAATATATAAAAGTTATATATTGTAAACTCATTTAATCAATGCATTCATGCATTAAATCTAATGTTATCAAATATATTGTCTCTATAATGGCAAATATATTGTATCAAATATATAGTGGTCATCACTTGTAATCACAATATATAGTGGATAGGGTGACCAACAGTCCCGGTATGGCCTGGACTGACCTAAACACTGACTGATTTTACTAATTATTTCAGAGTTCACGATAGGATTACATTAGCTAATACAATATTTTAGTACAAATGGTTACATTAATAATATATATATATATATATATATATACAGTATATATACTAATACAGTATTTTGTATAAAACATATAAAAAGTATTATAGTATAAAAAATGAATAAAATTTTCATGAAAAATTAATACATACAATGATATTATATTTGTTTTAGTAACAGTAGAACATTAAAAAAAATGTTCAAAAATTTTTAATGATTTTATTTTTATTAAAATTAATTATTATTAATAAATAATTTTAATGGTCAGTACACATAAAATCATTTGCCTAATCATAAGTTTAATTTTTTTTCTTCAATTTTACAATAACAAATGGCTAGAAAGTAATTATGTCCCGAATTTGTCCCGGAATATTATTTTTTTTATAAATTATCAATGTCCTTTTTTAAATATAAAATTAGTTGGTCAGTCTAGTTTTTATTATATTATATAATAAATGATAAATGTTTTTCTTTTTTATTGTTGTATAAAGTATTGGAGTTTTAATATTTTATATGAGATACACACATATAATTTATATAATACAAACAAACAATCAAATACACAATACATAATAATAATAGTATTGAATAGATTGCAAATACAGTAATTGAAATAAGAGATCAACAATTTTATTTATCAATGTTTTATATGGCTTTTTGTTATAATGAGAAATAAATATATCATTAGTAAAGGATTTTATCATAAGTAATACCAAAAAAAAAAAATTAATATAAAATGAATTGTATTTTTTGTGGGATTTATCTGTGGATCAAAAATATTAAGTTTTTTTGTACATAAATTTTTTGTCTAAATTGAATTTTTAGCTAAAATAGTTTTAACTTAAAAATCTGAAACATAATTTTTTAGACAAATTTAATCTCAAGAGATCCCGGAAAGCCTAAAACCGATACTTTTCTAAGATAATAAAATTGTTGAAAATTAAATGACCAGATTTTAAAACATAAGTGAGCTTTCAATTTCATATTAAATATTATATATCGTTAGAAATAAAGTACTGCATAAAGTAGATTGTATTTTATTGATATAACCTATATATTGATAATATTAAAATACTATAAATATATAATATGCTGTATATAACTTAATATATAACTTATAATATTTAATATAGTTTAATATTATCGGTATATGTGATTCTGTATATTATTTTACAACATATATATTGTACTGTAAATGGTACTATAGTTTCACTAATATAATATAAAGCTGATAAATAATAGTAACATAATTTAACGGATATAAATGATATAACTAATAGATATGGTATATAAAATTATACAATATATATGTTTACTTTATATAATTTATATTAAAGATTGTAAACATTTGCATAATTGAGACAATTATTGTATTAGTAGAATAATGAGATCATAATTCTGAAAATTTTATACTATAGTTCAATACGTAAATGTTATTAATAAATAAATTTATGATAAAACTTAAAACTATTATTGTGTTGAATAAATCTAACATTATTACAGTTTTATGTTTTAACAATTCTAATGGGTTTATGATTATATATACTGTACAATAGCAACGAAAATATTAGTACTAAATTCTAAATACTAATTCAGATTTTGAAATATACTTATAATTATTCTACTTTTTTCGGCAATTATTGTATTAATTTTTTCTGTAAATATTTATCATCTAAAATAATTGATAGTAAAACTAAATTTAAATACTTGTATAAATTTATTACTTTTATATATTCAATTTATAAAAATAGTTTTATTATATACCGTATAATAAGTTTAATATTATAACATTATGAGTTCTATAAATTTAAGAGATTATCCGATTAAGAGATTAATATTATTTTTAAAATTTTTTATTTAAGGTAAATAAATCAACTGAAATTAACACAATTAAATTAATTAGTTATTTATTTTAATTAAAATAACAATACTTAAAAATTGCATAAAATTATCAGTTATTTAAATATAAAATAATAATTTATAAAATTAATATACAGTGTCACTCAATTATTTTTATTATTATCATTTCTATAATACATTTTTTGACAATTAAATATTTTACATAAAACAAAATTCTAGTTTATAATAATCTCTAATTTTAAACAGTCATTTATATATATTTTTTATATATACTGTTTAGAAGAATAAATTTATATATTCAATATATATATATATTTTATAATTTCATAAAAATTAAGCAAAAATACTGTATATTTAATATTAATACTAACATCAATAATATTGATAAGTTACTATTGATTTTATTATCTTAAATAATTACACTTAAACATTACTTCAAAATAGGAAAATTAAACAAAAAAATTAAAATTTAGTAAACATTGATTAATTCTCAATTTATATTAATATAAAATATACAAAATTAATTATAATTCAATTAATAAGAGTTATATAAAAAATCAATAGAAAATTTGTTAAATAATTTAATAAATAATATTAATTATTAATAAAACAAACTTAACATTTAAAAGTTAAACTTAAATTAAAAAATTTATGTTAATAATTCATTTTTAAATAAAACTTTTATAACTTAAATAAAATAAACTAATGTATGAATTAAATGGTAATATAATTATGTATTTTTTTTTATAACTTAGATATGACTAAATTGGCCGTAAAATAATTATGCATATAATAACATCCATTAATAACATTCATATACAATATAAATAAATATAATATACTTTTTTTATATATATATATAATTCATAAATTTTTTAGTAATTTCTTTTAGTTTTCAGTTATTATTTTTTCGGACGAAGAGATTGTGGTTGTGTTTGTTGTGACTGAAGATTTTGGAAACAGTTTTGACAGACTCTGACCGGTTTGTAGATCTTTAGTCGCATTATCTCTGATTCAAATTTTGAACACCTGTTTGATTAGACAATTGATTTTATTTAAAACATATGGTTTTTTTAAAAAAAAAATTTGACCAAAAAAATAATAAGTTATTAATGAGATTCATGTGTTTTAAAAAATTATTTTTTTTATCAAAACATAACATACTTTGAACAGAAAACGTGTCCACAATTTCTGCAGTGGTGTCGGCGCTCCGAAAATGTAAATTTCACGCCACAGTTGGTACAGCTTTCGACTAATTCATCTTTAACCCAATGGTCAGAAACAGTGCCCCGACCTTCGCTCACTGTCCACGAGAACACCCGACCTCTGGCGTCGCCAACAAAAACCGTTTTATTATCTTTAGAAATGGCCAACGCTGTGATAGCGGCCGGTTCGGTGTTGTCGTTGCGCTCGAATGCTGTATGCATTGTCAGCTTCGAACAGAACACTAATTTGGGGATCCATTTATGGCCCGGTTTGAGGACAGCATTCAATTGATTACGGTTTCGATTGCATTCGTTTTCATTAACTATAATGAATGAGTCGAACAACGATGTGTCCGATTTGGATGTCCGGATCTTTGGCACTTCAAGAGCTGAGGCCCCGCTTGCCGTCAAATTTGTCGGTGTCTTTGGTAATGGCTTTTGATGTTTTGATGCTTCCATTTGTTGCGTCTGTTTATTGAGAGAAGTGACAAAAATTGTCGTTGACTTCGACTGTGGCATTGAAAGCGTTGGTATGTCATCTGATGGCTCAATATGTAAGAGATCCCAATCATTATCCTTGTCTTCAGGAGACGATGCGTTGCCTTCGGTAGACTCTTCATCTTCATCGCCTTTATTACTCTCGGCTGTAGCCGAAGCTATGGACAGTCGGCGAACAATTTCATCTTTCGACACAGGAATTACCAGCGAAGACTCGCCTTTACAGACATCGGTGGTCGGCGTCGACGATATGCTAGTGTTAGAAGATCTATCACTTTTGTCATCGTCGTCAATGGGCACCTGTACGTAGTCTAGTGACCACATTTTGACCACACCGTCCGACGATCCCGTCATAATGACATTTTGTGGATCCCATTCGTTATACGTCGAAAATGCCACACAAAGTACTTGAGTGGTGGACATAGATTGAGTCGACATCGAGATGTTCAATGTATTAACACTGGCTATGAGATCACCGTTGATGGACCAAAGATAAAGCCAATTTGATGCACAAGTAGCTATATCTCCGGTCAAATCATTGATAGCAATGGCAGCAATTGGTGCCGAATGAACAGAATTTGTTCCTCCGCCTAATTGTCGGACAAATATCAAACGATTCAAATCCCAGATAATACAAGTCTTGTCTCTGGAACCGCTGACAATAATTCCATAGGCGGCTGACGAGCTCAAGCATGTAATGGGTTCGGTATGTCCGTACAAATTCTGAATTAGTGCCATGTTTTGCATTTTGCCTTTAATTCTCCAAATAGATATTACCGAATTGGTTCCGGCAGTTATGATAATTCTCGGATTGGGAACAGTGGCGCATAAAATCTCTCCATTTGGTGGCAATAGAGTACTTTCCCATATAAATAATGCCCGATCCGACTCATACGGACCTATTCTTAAGCTATGATCAGCAAAACCCCACGCAATGTAGCGATTAAACTGAGGCGGAATCAAGACTTTGTTTTGTTCGACGGCCAGCAATGACTTATCCTGTTGTATGATTTGGCCGACAGCTCCGCGAAGCTCTTTAATCGGATGAAGAGATGGCCGCAAATTATCTAAATGATGTATAAATACTTTTTCTGTACCAGAATTGCTCATCAATACAGAATTGAGACCAACAGACGGTAATATTGGTGTCAATGGAAGGTTTGACGTCTGATTGAATATCTTTTTCATTGGATGTGGTTTTTTGAACAATTGTTTTGGTATTTGTCCAAAATTATTAATGAATCCAATTGTGGCGTTTTTCCTTAATGGATCATCGATGGTATAGATATCAACATTTCCTTCATAGAAAAGATGATGGAATACATTGACCGCTTCAACAGCTGCGGGACCTATCAATCAAATATAACGATAAATTCATTTTGACATTAATTTAAACAAATAATTTTTTCATCACTGGTGTCACTAACCCTGTTGTTTGTAACCGAAGATAAGATCAATCCATTCGTGAAGATGTGCCGAAACATAATCACATTCGAGAGCCGCTCTATGGACTCGAATAAACTCTCGCGTGTCATCTGACAAAAATAAATTTAGTTAAAAAAATATTTCAATTTAATTATATCTTAAATTGCACCCAACCTTTAGCCCACGGAGGAAGAACAACATCGTCGAGTTGGACACCGCTTTGTTTAATACCCAAATCAAATCGATTGGAATTAATTAAAAATTCGGGCAAATAAAAGAATTCGGGAATAAGCTCTTTAAGATCGGCCATATTGTTCTTAGCGGCCGACAGCCAGGCGTCGCCAAACGAGTGGAACATCCTATCGGCCAAATCAAAGTGTCCGCCCTGTAGACTAAGGAAGTGCTGAGCGAACGGTTCCATTCGGACCAGATATGAGGCCACTATCATTGCGCTCGAATAAAACGTTCCGTAATGATAGGGTCCTTGGATCAGGTCATCACCCTATCGGTGGCAAAAATATATAGTACCGGTAAGTGATAATACAGTTCATAGGTGTTAAACATCCAAATAATACCCCTTTAATATTGGAATCGGCGTCCCATTCGTTAAATCGTTTCTTAAACTGTTCCAATCGATCGGTTGTTTGTGCGCCCATTGGTTTGGACAGATCGCGGAACGTTCGCGGATCCATAAAGTCCAACTCAGAGCTGACGTAATCGGCAATAACCCACGGAAATACCGGGTATTGCATTAAATCATTATACGAACGACCGGCCAATGTATTCAAATTCATCAGATATTGAAAGTTTGATATTTCTCCTCTCTATTGGAATAATTAGGTGATATAAATCATAGGAAAATTGACATCATTTCAAAGAACATTTGATCAATTGATCCAATACTTACAACCCATCGCTGTGTAACCGATGTTTCGCCGATAAGATTACTCAAAATTCCTGCCGTCTCAACATTTGCATTGCGTTTTTGACCCATAAGCGAGTCCTGAGCGTTATCTGTGACTGAAGTGGCCACCGACATAAACCGCGAGTACACTTTGTTCCGTATTTTGCGTGGAAACACAAGTAATGAATTTCTACCGTCCAAAGAGAACACTTCCAATGCAATCGGTTGCAACAGATATCGTCGTTTGTGAACTTCTTTGATATCTTCAAAACTAAATTTACTGCAAGTTTTCTTTGTTGTCCTCTTAGATCCACCAGATATGCTACTTCGCGGAGACGAACTCGGAACTATCGGATCGTGCATACTATACAAACACAAAAATAAGATATTATCCGATATAAACAAAATTACTATAAAATATGGGTATAAATCTATTTACTTTGCCGGCAATGAATCAATATCTCTAATTTCCCGAGTCTTGAGTAATGTAAAGCCATCAATGAGATAGAAGTGCTCTTTGCCGAAGAGTAGCAAACCTTCATATGTGTCCAAACCTTGAATTCTTGCCACTCGAAACATATGTGATATACGTTCGCCCTCTTCAAGCAACCGGAGAACAGTCTGCATCTCTACCTGTTCGAAGCGATCGCCAGATTTCTGACGGGCCATCTCAGCACTGATATCCACAAACCCTGAATCGCCCTGTGCTCCGTCACATTCCCGATCCTGAGACTCTTGTATTATGTCGGATATGTCCTGATCGTCGATATCAGACGACGATTTCGATGGCAACAATGACGATGTTTTTATTCCTTGAAATGCCTGTTCTGTACTACTTGTGGTCGGCATTAAAGGCATGACATCATCGAAATTGTCATCAATTGAATTCTTGTCAATCAAACTGTTGTTTTCTGGTCTGTATCTCTTGTAATGTTCTTTAGAGTCAAAACTGATAGGAATTTTAAATTTTAACGCTTTGCTATCCATACCGTCAAACTCAGGTTTAAATGGATAATGAGTGTAAAATAAGTCGTTTCGGATCAACTTTTTCCGCATACGATGCGGACCTTCAGTCATATCTAATTTCCATTTATCTAAATTTCTGGATCCATAGTCCGGACCCCAAATAGCCCGCTCTCTAATCAATAATTCGTATTCCGATACAATCCAATCGTCGTAAACGTATTTCATGAGGTGATAATCAGATTGAGTTTTTTGTTTTAATTGTAGTTCAATAAAGTCATTGATAATCGACAGATGAATAGTTGTCCACTGAAACACTTCATTCTTAGTCATCAAAAGCCATGGTTGAGGTGAGCCTTGTATTAATGAATCAGAAAACGAGTTACGAAAAGCTTCTTTTCGTGCGGCAGCGCCAACACTGACAGCTGTGGACACAACTCCGCTAACAACACCAGTGGTTCCGCCGACTATTTTCGAGACGAAACCGCCGCCAGCCTTAGAGACTAACGAATTGAATTTATTAATATTCGCTAACTTTTCGGATATAATAGCCGTCGGACTCGAAACCGATGGCGAATCAAGTGATGACGTGCCGGCCGCTCTTCGGCGTTGTCTTTGTTGTTCATATTCGATATAATTGACCCAAACTTTAAGTGTTGGATCGTAAAGAGTTTCCCTAAGCATTAAGATCTCGGGTGTAATCGAAGTCAATCCAAAAGCCGGTGTATTCGGAGCTAAATTTATTTTCAACGACTCTTCAAGTAGTTGTCGCTTAGATAAGTAAATTTCGTCCCATATTTTTCTGGCTACCGATGCAATCAATAGGGCGCCCTCATCGGCATCGGAACCGGGACCAGAGTCAGGAACGTGCCAAGTAGTCCGCGATTTTGATGACAAACTTATCTTCGCTTCATCAATAAGTTGAAGCAAACAGTAGGTGAGACAAACAAAAAATTCAGAATCGGTGTTACACGAAGAGATTAGGATCAGCTGACGGCTGGTATAGATGCGCTGCAGAACCTCTAACATTGATATGCGATCTGATATGCTCTCCAATGGACGGGACAGTAGGTAAAGGACAGTTCGGTTCAATGATTTATACAAAAGAGTTAGTTCAGAAACGGAAGACGTCTTTGATGACTTGGTCTGTGGTTGCGGAGAAGGGTTTCCAACATTGATACGAGTCATCAGTTTGAGTATACAGTCGAGTATCTCTTTGCGGTCGCGAAGATAACAATCCTGCCATAGTTTGTCGACTACTATGGCAATGAAGGCGACAATATTAGTTGAGGTAATCTGTTGTTGTTGTTGTGGTACATAATTGGACGATTCGTGCTGTTGAGACATAAACTCTGTCAATGATGTCAAGTGCTCCAGAAGCGATTCAATAAGCTCTGTTTGGGCCAACTTGCAGGAGGCAAAGCCCTCCAAAAATTGCTCAAATATGGCAATTGGACGAACCGCTGCATGGGTTTGACTACTGATTAAATTTATTATTATTAATCTAATGAAATCCATAATATACTTCTTTGCCGAGTGAGTGGTTAGAACAGAGTCTTTCGTGTCCGTAGACGACGATTCCTTATTTGTATTTTGTTGTTGTTGTTGTGATTCTTCGGCAATAATTGTCTGGCAAAGAGCTAATATGAACTCAGCGTTGGACTGACAAAAGATTTGAAAATCTTTGCGATTGTGATACAAATACATAATAAATTGAATCAAAACGGTAGGAAAATCGGTAAAGTTGTCGATGTCGTCCAAATCCCAGATTAACGTATGAATCATCGATAGTATTGTTATCGACAAATCTTTACAATAAAAATTTGGCGAATGAGCGAACCTTTTGTTAGATTCGGTGAACAGACAGTTCCACAGGTTATCCAAACTTAACTGTTCAAACGTTTCGATTGTCTCCAATACTGAGGCCGATAGACTCTGGTATTGTCCGACAAGAGCTTGGAATAAGACTAGATATACTTTGGGCTGTTGGACGTGGGATGATATCAACCAATTCATGTATAGAAAGCCGGGAATCGATAGCAGATCGTTGCGAATCATTTTCATTCCCGTCGTACGACTTGTTAACACTGTTTGCATGGAACTGGAGTTTGGCGGTGTGTTTACATTGAATCCCAACAATTGGACACCGAATCGACTTTCGAGTACAGCTTCAGTATCCTTAAGCCAACCACCATTAGATGTTCCCTCTTTAAACTTTGTATACAATGTTTGATTAGATATGACAACCATTAAGTTAACTAAACCAATGGTCACTGTTTCCTTATGGAGTGAACTTTGAAGAAACAGTAAAAACCAATCGAAACCCAACAATCGGGCCAACTCTTCTTGTATGGCGTGATTGATGGCCTGTTGTTGGCTACGAGTCATTAGCTGAAGGATAATCTTAAGCAATGAATTTCTCAATTCAATTGTGTCGCCAGTCTTTTCGTCGCTATTAGCCGGCAATAGCGATGCTATAAATTGGCCAAAATATAGGAGATCCGAGTGACGGGATGTTTGATTGAGTAGTCGAAAGCATAGAGTATAAAGCAATGACAGTATCTTTGTGTCGGTTATGCGTATTTCACGCGTCAGATTCAGAAGTTTCGGCAGTAAAGACATGTCGCGCAAGACTTTTAAATTTGACGATTTGTTTTCAGATGAAGAATGACTGGATTCAAGTAATAATTCATTCAAATGTTCTAAAAGCGATTTTAATAACTCGTTTTGCGCCCATAGGTCGAGCTGATCGGCCAATAGATCCTTAAACGCTCCAAATCTCTGAATTTCCATTGAACTGTCATTTGATCTCTTGATATCAAGAGTGCCAATCAAATTGAATGTTAGATGTAATACATGTGAATTGAGGAACTGTCGCTTTCGCCTGAAGAGCATTGCAAGTGTCTGATAGCCATTAATTCTTTCCATTTCCAGCTGTAGTTCGCGATTTGTCCGAATGACACAAACCAGTGCTTTGACGCTGGCGTACAACGATTCGACGTCTTGAGTGTTGGCAATTAGTCCCAGCAATAGAGTAGCGCCGCCGATGTCACTACAGGTGACGGTAACTGGTTTTGGGACAAAACAACGGGCGCCAATGTTGCCAATTAGGATACCACCCAATGAACGACTGGGACCACAAAGATGTGCCGACGAATTGTGCAAAACATAAATGGGTGTCGCGTTCTCGTGAGTCGATATACCCAAAAGTTTTGATATTTGTCGGCAATCGAAACGAGAATAAACTCTTCGCATTTTGGCCAAAGTCATTGCCGAAGTGGCTCTCGAGTTCAGCCCAAATATAACCCGATCTTCAGGGATGTGTTGCTGAATCTGTTGAAATGCCTGAACGTGAGTTACGCCCTGAAAGCTTCCGATATAATTGGGACCTAATGAGTGAATGTATGCCACAAACATCGAGTTGAGTGGCTCTTCGAGCAGATGACAGGGACCCTGTTTCCAGACAAGGCGCGACTGTTTGCGCCATTGAGGAGGAGTTCCGATAAACCCATTAACAAATAAAGGACTAGCGTTTGAGATGCCGGAAATGCCGCCGACGACTGATGATATATAATGTAATTTTTGACTAGCGATCAGTTGACCATCAATATAGACACTGACCGTCGAGTTCTTCAATAGGGCGCGATTGAGAATTATAGCGATGTGATGCCATTGACCTTCTTGTATAAGTTCCGGTGACCAAACTCTCAAATGATGGTCGGCATCGAATTGGTGGGGAAAGCCTGACGAACCAACTTCACAGTCACTGAAGATCGGTATTTCTTGAGTGGATATTAGAAGTGCTTTATCTCTGGCAGCAATTTGTAACTGAAAGCAAGCGTACTCTTGACCCGACTGTGCGGCCCTATATAATGTCAATAGTCTGACATTATGGGACTCATCATTGGATGTCGGAGAAAATTTTTCCACACAAATCCATGTCGTATATGAAAAACCTGATTGTGGCGGAAAAGCGCGTTCACCGGTGCCGATACCGCCGTTGACAGTAATGGGAACATCGGAATTGCCAACAATAGCACCGGTCAACAGGTTTGTAGCGCTCGAACTGTTTCCACTTAAACTGATCGGTGCTATCGATGGCAAAAATAGCGACGAAAATCCTTCCTGATTCATATCGAACTCGACAAATGGCGGCTGAAGTAAATGATTACTTGTTCCGTCTTTAGGTGTAGTCATGCTTACGATGGTTTTGATTCGTGTCAATGCTATCGGTCCACCGTTTCGTTGATTTTTTGGTTTACCGTTACCTAAATCATCGATTGGTATACAGTTTAATGGTTGTCCTAATCTCAAAAAATTTCTACCAAAAAAAATAAATAAATTTATTATCACTTTTATTTAAATTATCTAATTATAGTTAACATACCGGAGCTCTTTGGGCTGAATATTTTGTGCGGAAAGCCTTTCGAGTATATATTGTGCTGTTGTATGCAATGAATGACTTTCATTAAGTAAAGCTTCGCTATACCTGTCCATTAAAATCTCAGTCACTAAACCTATTTCGCACATAACTTGTTGATTGCGTTCTGACTTCAATAGTCTACGCAAAACTTCCATCAAATAAACTCTTAGGTTTTGATCGGGAATCGATGGAATCAATTGAAACATCGATATCAATACAGAGGAATGGACAATAAGTGGCGGATCTGTAGATAAAGATCCAAGTGATAGATGTGGTGGTCGTTTGGTTCCCGAAACAGACCCAGTCTGAGTATTTGTCGGAACTTTTGGTGCCATAGTTGTCATAGTTGAGCATTTGTCAGACACATCAAGTGTCATATCATAAAGTAATCTCATGAGAAGACACGCACATTCTGAACGTGTCATCGGATGTTTTGGCGGTAAATCATTTAGTGAACTATTAAACAGTTGTTCGTAATTGGTTTCATCTGCGGTGTCGCCATCAGCTATAATATCCGATTCGCTGGTAAAACAGCCTAAAAGTCGTATGGAATCAGTTAAACTCGATGCACATATCTCTTGGGCAAAGAAACGTGCGTTTGCCGGCTCGTAACGCATAGCCGTTGTTAGCGATGCAAACACACACCTAACAGAAAAAACAGTAAAAAGTTAGTGATAACCACTGGTAAGTCATGTTTACAATTTGGATCAAACCTTAATAGGTTCCAAATCTTTTTCGGTTCAATATTATTCCATGTCTTGCAATCGAGACATCCCTCCATATGGACTAAAACAGACATAACATACACAAAACCGCCAACTTTTCTGAATATAGCCCTCACTCTGTGATTCTCTCTTAATACTACCAAAAGTGACTTTAGTATTGAAGACTTTAGATTTAGATTTGTGGTAATATCGGACTCTCTGTGCATTAATGCTAACAAATTGGCCAAATGTTCTTCGCCAGCGTTGGAAAGTACTAATTGTTGGGTTATTTGAAATGCTTTTTTGCGCAACTCTTTTGAACATTTATTGTTTGACAAAAATCCAAACGAATGTTTAGCGGCTCCGCATTCGCTGAAGAGCTGACAGTTTTGATTGTTTGGTCCGACCAGCATATGAATGACATTGTCGACTATCAACTGAAGTAACGGCTCGTTCTCATTATCCTCGGATTGGGAATAGTATATGAGCTGAGAGGCTATTATGTCGAGCAAACCAACTTCGCGAAAGACATCGGCAAATATAACATTGAATTTAAGAATTGACAGCAAAAATTTGAGACATATTGTACTGCTTTCGATGGAACTGTAGTTTAACAATAAAAAAAACATTAACCGGTAATTATTAAACAATAATCTAATTAGTTATCTAAATCTTTATAAAAAAATCATTACTGTTTTGATTTGATGATAATGGAAATACTGATCAACTCTTTACAGGGAACGTAGCGAAGTTCAAACACAACAAACTCCAAAAGTGTAAAAAATTTTACCTAAAAATATATAAAATATTGTTTATGAAAGTCATTAAATAGTTAATAAAAAATTAAAAAACAAGTTTTCATAAACTGTATGAAAATTACCTGAACATCGGTTGACTTAAACTGAAGTTTTTCGGCAAATTGACTCAAAGTGTTTTGCGAGTCCAGTATAAAATAGTTGGCCTTATCTTCATTGTTCAGCGCATACATTGCGTCTAAAATCAGCTCTTGAAGTAGGGATGTCTTGGAGCGCATCCAAACCGTTTGGAAAACGTTATAAGCGTTTAGATTTTTTATGGCATTTTTAGTGGTCGGTCGGGGCATCGAAAAGTCATCCATTATAAACAAATGGTTTACCGAAAGTGGTCGCGGTTTTAGTTCCCGAGAACCGACTTTAGTGAATTGCATTGTCATATTGATTAACTTCTTAAGCAATTCTAATTCATCCGAATTTTGTTCTAATTTCAGACAAAAATCAATCATAAAGTTGTAACCAAAACAACTCTTAAATTCGTCTAAAAAAATATTAACGGCCGAAGAATTTTTACTAATATTTGCGGCCAATTCGGACATAAAGCTAATTAAAGTGCCAAACATTTCCACAATATCCGACGTTTCCGTTGTGCCCAACTCTAGCATTCTTTGCATATTTTCAAGATATAAACTAAGACATCCTTTCTCTTTCAAATATTCGGCACTAATATTGTTATTCTTAGCCATTGTTAAGATGACATCCGACGCTGTTTTTCGCCACAAAGCGTTGTGCTTCGGGCACCAGGAGGTTATGGCATTAAATAGTAGCGACAAATCATCTTTTCTGGTTAACTCAATAAGTGCCGAATGAAATGAACACAAACGAATCAATAACTGTGAAAAAATCTTTTGCAATAACAAACGTCTGTCTATTGGTTTCAGCTCTTCTTGCGATTGACTGTCGCTCGTTGGTTGGCAATCATTAAGTGGTGGCAAATCAAAGAACAAATACAAACACTTAACCAGTGTTGAGGTCAACGAATTTGTGGTCATTATGGAGATCAGTGGCGCAGAGTTGGAGCATACGATCAGATTGAGTGTCGATAACAAACACCAGCCTTTCTTGTCTGAAGGTGACTCCAGAGCTGGCGTTATCTCCAGAAATTCGACGATGGCTTGCGAAGCATTTTCAGTCGTCTTACTGCTGGCCCGACGACGTATTTCGGTGACCATCAAACGTGAAACCATTTGCGTGAATGCGGTCACATCACAGAATTTTTCAAACATATCCACATGAGATCCATTATTTTGAACACTTGTACCAAATACCTGTAAATTCAAATAATAATAATATATTTATAATATTAAGACATTGAAAGAGTTGATTACAAACTGAAGATAACATACTTTACAAAATAGTGGTAATATATTGTATATCTTGAGTTCGTGCAGTTCGTTGACCTGTTGCGATGACCCGACCGACGGCTCGTTGGCCTTAATATCGCCGAATAGTTTGTTCAAATGCGATAACGACAGCGACGTCTCGGCCGATGTCGCAGAAGATAAGGACGAAGACGACGATTCCCTATCAGTTTCGGTTCGGGTCTGCTGTGAGACCAATCTTCGCATAATATTCATCGTTTCTGTCGTCGTTTCGATCTCTCTAATAAAGTCTTCATTTATTATGTCTTCATTAAGACAGCCATCGATATTATGCTGCGGTTATTATCACCCGATTTGATCACAACATATGATTTATAACTACATTGACTGACATTTCAATGTTTGTAAACAATACTACTATTTGTGTGTCAATTGATTAATACATTCAAAGGTAGTAAAAGGTATTATTAATGGCAACAAATTATTAGGAATTATACATACATTCCATATATATTAGCATAGATTATTACTAATATATACATACATATCTTGTTTAATATGTATAACAATCATACATATATGGTAAGCTCCGCCCTATTATAGTTTTCAAACATTATAACATGCAACCAATGTATTGACTAACATATACAGTATTACTGTTATTACAATTACATAATTCAAGTGATCGTCAATAACGACAACAAATATCATAACAACTCTATGTTTACAAAACTGTTTATATGTTTAGACGTTATTTATTGTCCGACACTTAAAGTCAACGCCACACACACTCGCGGTGTTTGTGTTGTGAAATCATTGACAGTTGTAGTGACTATTCGTGCGACCAATTGATCGGTAAATTTGTCGGACAATATTAAACCAATCGAATGGGACGATCGGATCGCGACCGCCGAAGTCGACGAAGTCGTTCGCGTAGTCCGCGCAGTAGCCGCCGGCGCTCGAGAAGCGCGTCACCGAAACGTCGCGATCGGTCCCGTAGTCCTCGCGATCGCCGAAACCGCGATCGCGGCGGCGATAATAGAGATAAACGACGAGACGATCGGCGAAAAGTTGAAGAAATAATCGGCGGAGAAGTGAACTTAGAGACCTTTGATAAGGACGAACAACAGAGAAAACTAGAGATATTAATGCAAGAGAGGAGGGAAAGGGTTGAAAAGTGGAGACTAAAACATAAGACATTGAATGCAACGAACAGTACTGAAGTCAACAATACAGAGGTCAGCGGTGTTGACGAAAATGCCGACTCAGAAGTGAAGAAGACATGGACTCTGGAGGATGAAAATGATGACGAAGAAGAAGATAATCAAGTGGTCGAATCAATGGACGACTTGGATGACGAACAAACTATTAAACCGATGCCGAAGAAAGAGGAAGACAACGATGAAGAGTTAGCACAATTGGCAAAGATTAAGGCCGAGAAAAAACCCAAAGTCGAAGGTATTGTTTATTGTCTTGAAATATTGAAAATATAATATCATATATTGTAATACTTTTTTATCGGTTAAAATTGTAGTCATTCCTCCAAAACCAGAACCTGAAGCAGTAGTTGACGATGATATTGATCCGTTAGACGCATATATGATGGGAATACAAGAAGAAGTTAAAAAGATGCGATCGAAAACTGTTAAGTCTAACGAAAAGGACAACAAAGTGACAGTTGTGGTGGGAATCGCTAAGAAAGCAGTTAATGCTAAAAACAAAGGAGAATTAATTGAACAGAATATGGATGCCATGGAGTACTCATCCGAAGATGAAGGCGTACAAGACGATGATTTGGCCAATGCTATGGACAATCTGCAGAACAAAGTCAAACAAAAGAAATTGATGACAATAACTAAGGATGACATTACATATCAGTCATTCAGAAAAAATTTCTATATAGAAGTTCCCGAATTGGCCAAAATGACTAATGAAGAAGTCGAAGCATTCAGATCTGATATGGAAGGCATCAAAGCTAAAGGTAAAGGATGTCCCAAACCTATTAAGACATGGGTTCAGTGCGGTGTCAGTAAAAAAGTGTTGGATGTTCTTAAAAGAAATAATTACGAAAAGCCGACACCAATTCAATGTCAGGCTATTCCGGCCATTATGTCCGGTCGAGACCTTATAGGTATCGCCAAAACAGGTTCCGGCAAAACACTGGCTTTTTTGTTGCCAATGTTTCGTCATATTATGGATCAGCAGCAACTGGAATCAGGTGATGGACCCATAGCTATAATTATGACACCTACACGTGAGTTGGCCACACAAATCTGGTCGGAATGTAAAAAGTTTGCCAAACCATTGAATCTACGAGTGGTTGCCGTTTACGGTGGTACACCGATTTCCGAACAGATCGGTGAACTTAAACCGGGCGCCGAAATTGTTGTCTGCACTCCCGGCCGTATGATTGATATGTTGGCCGCCAATTCTGGTCGCGTTACGAATCTTCGTCGCTGTACTTATTGTGTGTTAGACGAAGCGGACCGTATGTTTGACATGGGTTTCGAGCCACAGGTCATGCGTATCATTGATGGTGTTCGTCCCGATAGACAAACTGTTATGTTTTCGGCTACATTTCCGCGAATAATGGAAGCACTGGCCCGAAGAATATTAGACAAACCAATTGAAGTACAAGTTGGTGGTCGGTCTGTGGTTTGCAAAGAAGTCGTACAAAATGTTGTCGTTATAGATGAAGACGAAAAGTTTCTCAAATTATTGGAAATTTTAGGTTCGTTTTAATTTTTTATTATTTATTCACAAAACATATACTATTTTACATATATCAATGTTTTTTGCTAAACACAGGTCGCTTTGCAACAGTGGGCAGTGCTATCGTATTTGTGGACAAACAAGAAAACGCAGATATGTTGCTCAAAGAGCTTATGCACGCATCGTATACTTGTTTAGCACTTCACGGAGGTATCGACCAAAACGATAGGGACTCGACTATTGCCGACTTTAAGAATGGAAAAGTTAATGTTTTAGTGGCGACATCGGTAGCCGCTCGAGGACTAGATGTTAAACACTGTGTTGTTGTCATCAATTATGACTGTCCCAATCATTATGAAGACTATGTACATCGTTGCGGTCGAACCGGTAGAGCTGGCAATGAGGGCCACGCATACACTTTCATAACACCAGAACAGGGAAAATATGCAAACGATTTAATCAAAGCTTTTGAGTTGAGTGGACTGTCGGTACCCGACGAACTTCGTCAGCTATCGGATGGTTATAAATTGATGCAAGAAGCACTCGGAAAGAAAGTCAAATCAGCTTCAGGTTTCAGTGGAAAGGGATTCAAATTTGACGAAGCAGAAGCACAACTGGCCAATGAAAAGAAAAAATATCAAAAGGCGGCGCTCGGACTACAAGATTCAGATGACGAAGATCCTGAAGCAGACATCGATCAGGAGATTGAGAATATGTTGGCACCCAAGAAGTCTACTAAACAGGTTCCAATAGCATCGGCACCTGTTGCCAATTCAGTGGCCGGAGTTACCGTAACCAGTGATAAATCAGTTACTGAAAAACTTGAATTAGCCAAACGTTTGGCCTCAAAAATATCTGTCAATATGGCCGGCAAGTCGACACTGTCCACTACCGAAGCGTTCCTTAAGGGCGAATCGTTTGATTTAGGTGTTCCCAATGTAATATCAGCCAAATCACGAGCCGAACAAATTGCCGAACGACTTCACGCCAAACTTAATTATGTGCCCAAAGATGTCGAGTATAATGAAGACGGAGAGATAGTTCGGAAAGCGCTCGACGACGACGATCCTAACGCACCCGGCAATGCTGGCGGACAGCGTTTCGAAGAGGAACTGGAAATCAATGAATTCCCACAACAGGCCCGTTGGAAAGTGACCTCAAAAGAGGCGTTGGCACAGATATCCGAGTACTCGGAGGCCGGCATAACAGTGAGAGGCACTTATTTCCCGCCGGGTAAAGAGCCCGGATTGGCCGATAGGAAACTATATCTAGCTATTGAAGGCGCGTCCGAACTGTCCGTCTCTAAGGCCAGGGCTGAGATTATCCGACTTATCAAAGAAGAATTGGTCAAAATGGTAACATTCACTCATTTATTACTATCATATATTAGATGTTATTATTAATACTGTTTTTCTCTTTATATAGCAAAACACATACACACCTGTCAATAGGGGACGTTATAAAGTTGTCTAATTATTTAACCGTTTGACTAAATCTTGTAAATAACATTTATTTAAACATCAATAATTGATATTTTAAAAAATATATAATTTATTATACAATAATAAATATAAATGATTTCTTTTTAACTTTGATTTTCATTTTAAAAAGTATGATAATAATTCACTAACATTTTTTAAAAAGTTTTGGTGTCATCCGCTGTCTGATCCGTCCAATACATCAACATTAGTGTTACAGCTTTTGACGCACTAAATTGTTGCAAAAATCTTAGTTAAACTTAAATTTTTAATATAATATGTTTTGTAAGAGAAAGAGAGAACTGGCAGATACAATAAGAAATTGTCATCAATTGTTGTGCTATAAGTTAACAAATATAACAATTTACAAAAAATATATATTTAAGTAAACTAAACTAAAAATATTTTTCAAAATTACACATTAAATCTTACAAAATTGTTACAAATATGTTGACATCAATTACAAAATAGTTAAACATTAAGCTTAAGGTAAACACATACTCATCTCTTTGGTTTTAGATACAAATCGGACAACATATGTGAGATACAGTTCCTGTTCATCAAAATACACAAATTATTTGATCAACTAATTAGTGATACATTCCTCGTCGGTTATCACTTACTTTTCTTGTGGCCATTTGAAAGAATTGTTCCTCCATTTGGACAAATGGTTTACCAATTTTTTCTTCACTATCAATAAATGACATTAATAAATAACAATTAAGACAAATAGGGATCAGTTGTGGTGATGGACTTGACATTACATATAATTTCTGACACGTTGTCGTTGAGACAAAGTTGCCCACAACTTGTTATCGTAGACACCGTCCAAATCATTGCTATCGCCCATTGTTTTGTCGGATCAATCGTCGTATATCTTAAAATTGATTACCAGTAATACAATTATGAATGCAAACTAAATGCCAAATCATTTGATTTTATGGTTTAACTAAACGACAGTTTTATCAACAAACAAATGTTAATTTTTTCAAGTGATTAGTTCTTTGAACGATCAATGACTGATTTTTTAGGGACAACTAGTCATTAGGTTTTTTTTTTGATGACCTGTTAGCTGATTAATAATTTATATGAACTATTAATTATATCGATAATAATAATAATAATATAGAGTTTTAGATATCTATTGATACATTCAGTAGTTTAGATTTATTGTTATAATTGGTTAGATTTTATATATGAATTTAATAAGTAGTTTATACAGTAGTTTAGAAAGTCATAGAAATACCAAGCAATCATCGATAGGAAAGTTTTATACTTTAGCTAATAATAGTTTTTTTTTTTAAATTATTTAGTCATTTACAGTAAAAGTTATTTTAAATAATAAATTTGTTTATTTGATAAATAAAAGTTGGGGTCAGTTATGGTTTTTTTTTGTAGTCCAAACGGGTTATTCATACTAATCCGTCAATGGGTTGTTATTAGTATTTTGTTGATCAATTGGTTGATCCATTGGCTCGACTAATAATTGTCCCGTAGATTGTATAGGAGTTTCTTGTGTTGTTTGATTGGATTCACTGATAGATTGTGACGACATTTCCTCTGTTATTGGATTGCATTTGTCGACAGACACTGGCATTTGACCAACACTTTGAATATCTTGTTTGTCTGTATCGACTGAATTATTATTAAATTTTGGATTTAAATGTAATAGTCGTGTAAGCATTGATGATATGCACTGTTAAAAAAATAATTTTATAAATTATAACTAAAAATTTATTTATCATTTAACAAATGAAAACTTTTTGTTTAAATACAAACTGGCATTTGTTTCTTGTGATGATATTGTTTGTCTTTCGGTGAATTGGACTCAAACTCGAAGGCCACCCGTTGGTTGACAATTGTGAAGATTGTTAACAAATCGTAATTAGTATTGTTGTAGCACTGGGTCAGTACATCGGCCAGAGTTTGGATAAAGTAAGACCCGTTTTGTGTATTGCGAAAGGAATAGTGACCTAAAAATACAAATCATTATATAATTACTTATATTAAACTTATAATTTATAATAAATAAAATATTAAATACCGGGTGCTGTACTATAATAAACAAGAAAATCGGCAATTGTTGGGATTTTATAGATCGGAGCCGCGGGCTTGTTGTCCACTACATCCTTGCCCAGTGCTGCCAGTTTAGTGCCGGCATCAAACTCACTGCCACGACAGGCCTTTCAATTAATATTATTAATATAATAGGGTTTCAATAAATTTTCCAAAAAATTCTGTACAATTGTCATATTTGTATAGTTACCTGAATTATAAATAATTTAGGTTTACCCACAAGTGTTGGACACCTATCGCCGTTAAGAAATTCAAACAACACTTGAATCGGGTATTTGGCGTTTCGGGCCCACAACACATCTTCGTCGCCGTGTGTCAGCACAACCACAACCACACAATCTCTATGACTGTGATCTTCAAGAGATACTATTGTAATAAAAGATAACTAACTTTTAATAAAGTAATTAAAACAGTGATGTATACGATATATTCATACGTGTTATCATTATATCTCTGATTTCCTTATATGTCTTATCCAAATAGTTGACGACTTCAAACTGTAGTCTATTGAAAGCATATGCCACGGCTTCGGCGTCTCGTTCGGTGCCCATTCGTGGCTTACAACCGGTGTGTGTGTCAAACAATCGGTGATTGAAAATAATACATTTACCCCGTTGTTGGTGATCCATATCGTAGACTAAACTATTTATCGGTATAGTTATGGAACCGATTGGTTTATCTTTTTGGCCCATAATTGAACTATAATTATTTTTTTAGTTTTACTATTTATATATAATAATAATAATTTTTGTATATATATTGTACCTAAATTTGAATAGTTTAGCATCGATAGCATCCCTTTCCTTTTGCTCATCATTGTCACCAATAGTTAGTTGTTGTAATGGTAATGGTTCCTTATTAAGATGAACTTCAAATCCACTATACATGACTTATAATTATTATATTATATTTCAACTTTAAATGTATGAATTTTACTAAATGTTTGAAATATTTTTATTAAAATAGAAAAAATTAAATCAAATGAAATTCGTTTATATAATGGTGTAATCAAACAACAAATGACTAATAATAATAAAAAATATATGTTATTAACGACTAATAATTTAGAGATAATTACTCAGACGGTTATCTATAAAGCTTTACTTAATTAACAATATTTAGTTTTATCGTTGTTTATGATATTTGGTTGCTATTTGCTAATTGATTTGTATGTACCTGTATTATGTAATAAATATAAAATAAATCATAATGTAACTATCAATTATTATTAATTATTCTATTATACTTAATTTAAATATATATACTGTATATTCAATCGTTATTGTAACAGTTAATAAATAGATGATAATATCAATATTTTTTAATAATTATTATAAATTAAAAAATAAATTATTTTACTAATTTGTTTGAGTAATCATTTGTGTTATTTATAAACTAAAATGTACAATATATATATATATATATAATTATATATATATATCGAATTTCAATTACAATAAATCATATTTTTTTAAATTTTGCATAATTTATTTAAAATAAAATTAATTTTTTTATAAAAATAAAATATTTATTTATATTTATACTTTATAATTTTAATATTACAAAAGTTATTTTGAAATTACTATATATTTTTATAATGTTTACGCAAACACTTAATTATTAGTTGATTTATAGTATATACAGTACTGATATATGAAATTACATTATTATCAGTAATTTATAACTTGGTATTCAATAGTGAATTAATCTGAATATAAATTTTCAAGTGCTATGAACTGTGTTTCAATATCAAGCAATCGACAATAATAACAAAAATACGGTTAATTTCCCTCCAATGTTATAACAAAATTTATCGCAATTTTATTAGTATTTTTATTTGCTAACTGATACTGTATTTACAACTATTAATAAATTTTTTTATAGCAATTATTATTATTATTATTATTATTATTGTTACTTTTACTTATTTATGAAATTCATATTCAGTATTATTTGAAATTCAAATATTTAATACACTTATGATTATAATGTTATGTTTAAAGTGCAAATCATTAGACTTATTATAATAATTTCTTATAATAAATAAATATATCTTCAAATACTTTTATATATGATTCACTAGTGTTTATGTCAGTAAAAATAATAAATAAATAATAATTCACTTATTTTTGCTGTCGTTTTTACAATTATATAAAGGATATATTTAGCTCACGAATGGTTCATCTACTCTGACATTGATTTCAAGAAAAAAATTGTGTGAAATATAAATAGTTTGCATCCTTTTGAACAACAAAATGCACATAACATTACATTTCCGTATAAATAATAAAATGTTAAAATTAATATAACTCTTTGAAAAAAAAGAAAAGAAATTTCTCGTTGAAAATCATATGTTTGTTCAAAAAAATTGCCGATAATTTTGATAGTAATTGTAGAAAAACAATGTATTCAATGTCTGATAGAAGAGAAAGAAGAGGAGTGTCACCACTGAAGGGAACCATTGATGAGCGCCGGAGTCTATCGGATGAACACTCGTCTCTAAACTCTTGTAGTGCCGACCAATCATTTAGGGATAATCTGAAACATTTACTCCATTCATACCGTTTTCACGTAAGGTTTCTTTTAATGTCTTCAAAAAAAAAAATTGTGGTCAAAATTTTTTTGTGGTGATATCAATAGTTATTAATCGTTGCGCTGGTTATCGTCGACTGTATTATTGTTGTCATTGAATTGATGATAGATTTGCAGATCTATCAGACAGAAGTATCCAAACATACAAATCATACGGACATCAATGATGGACATCATAACAAAGCACATAATATAGCACAGGTATGTCTTTTAGAAAATGGATATAACCAGTAGTTACTATAGATTATCGACTATAAGTTAGTAAATGGGTTACAATTGTTTAAAAAAACAGATATTACATTATATAAGTATTGCTATACTTTGTATATTTGTTGTGGAAATATGTCTTAAAATGTATGCCTTTCGGAGCGAATATATAAGACATTACGCGGAAATAATCGATGCCTTTATTGTGTTAACATCACTGATATTGGATCTGATTTTTATTAATCACGAAGACATTCTTCGTTATATTGGTTTAGTTATTATATTGCGTTTGTGGCGAATCGTACGTGTAGTTCATGGTATGTCTTAAAATTGATAAAAAAAAATTTTATTGAAAAGAGAAATGTTATTTAAACAAATTGTTTGTTTGTTTTTTCTATCTATCGGTGATAGGAATAGCTATATCGGTGAAGACACCACTGGAGCACAGTTATGAAGAGGAGAAACGAAAGCGGGAACGGTATGAACGAGAGTTGGCCGAAATGCATCTCTATGTCAATTCACTGGAGATCGAGATAATGAATTTGCGATCACTACTCAAAACTAAAGGTATCGTCGATGGAGTTCCCCAAACGTACCTTAAAATTGACCGAAAAGTTTGATTATTATTATTATTATTATTATTAGCAAATGAAATAACATTATACAGACATTTTTTGAGAAACAGTATTATATATTTTACAACTTTATTTTGTTTTTAATTAATTTATTTATTATTAAAAAAAATATTTATACATGTATTATAACTTATACAGTTATTTATTTGAATGTTAAATTAAGATGTTTTTATATTATGATATTTTATGTTAAATAATTAATTTGTGATTAAAATAATATATAAATGTTGCTATTAATTTTATAATTAACAAAATTTATATTAATTATAACTCAATTACTGTATATCTATATTATAATATTGCAAAACATTTTTTTTAAAGTCAGAATATATAGCAATAGTTTACAAACTATTATACAGTATAACAGCAATTCTGTTGAATACAGAATATACAGTGAAATACAACATATCTATTATATAGTCAATAATATTTGTGTTTTGTTTTGACATTATTTTCAATGATATGCGCAAAACTAACTCATAATATGATATTTGTAATACTAGTTTGTCATTTACAAACACATTAAACCAGGTTTTTATTATTATAGTTTACTTTATTAGAATTAATTATATATTTGCACATTAGGTGTGATAACTTATGATAGAAAAATAATTATACATAATTAAAGTGATATTTTTTTGCTCAAATGGCTATAAAATGTACGATTGATTAAACAATTATAAATTGGAAATGGATGTAAAACTGCCCGCCCCCATAATAATAAGCCAGGACAATTTTCACAATATAATCAACAAAAATTGTTTGACAATTAATGAATATTTCCAAAATGTCATTTCCAATGGTCGACAAACTGACTTAATAACTATATTTGACAACTATTTGGCCGATCTATTGAACCAAAACAGCCGTAACAACGATATACTATTGGCCCGTATATTATGCCTTATATCGCAATTTAATCAATTGAGCCATAAATTGGGTATCAATTTAAATGTCATCCAATTATTTTGCATTTATTTAATATAATTTAATATTTTTATATATATTAGATATAAATTATAAAAATCCAGTCAATAATAATAATAAGGACAATGATCTCAAAGTGATTATAAAATATTTTGAATGTGAGGAAAATTTTAGGTCGGGTCTCAAATGTCTAATACAATTGCGGGACTCGTATCCAATTGGCGACTGTTTTATATCTGAATGCTATGATCGGTGTGTCAGTGCATTGATTAAGAAGTCGGTCAAAACCGGTTTCGATAGTATTTTACCACTAATAAGCAATAGTGATAGAGAGATACCGGTCAACCAGTGGGTGACAGCTGTATGTCCGGCAAGGATTGACTTATTCGGGTATTATATTTTCATATGTGTTAATATTATTAGATATTAAATTAGATTTATAACAGAGGATGGACTGACACACCGCCCATTTGTTATGAAATTGGTGGTCAAGTGATGAATATAGCCATTCAAGTGAATCACAAGAAGCCCATTGGATGCAGAGCTAGAAAAGTTGAGAACATTTCTACAGATCTCATAACGATCCGTGAATTTGATTCAAACAAACAATTGGTATCTGATCTGAAACTTAACAATATTGAAGAGTTTATCGATTATTGTGAACCGGACTCTAGCGGTGCTCTAATCAAATCTGCACTTATTTGCTGTCAATTTGTCGATTTAAATAATCAGACGACTCTTCATCAGCAACTGAACGCTAATTTGATTTCCGGTCTGGAAATTGAATTGTGGTCAGACCTGCCACAGGGATCTGGTTTGGGAACCAGTAGTATACTATTGAGTTGTGTAATTGCAGTACTCTGGATGGTTTCAGGCAAACAATTTACAAAAAGTGCACTAATAAATGCCGTCCTATACACCGAACAATTGTTGACCACATGTGGCGGATGGCAGGACCAGATCGGTGGTGTCATAGGAGGCGTCAAATTGGGTCGATCTGAAGCCGCTCTTCCACTGAAAATATCTTACAAAAAGGTTGAAATAAGTAAACCATTTCAAAGTCTACTCGAAAAGCATTTGTTGCTTATCTATTCGGGAACCGTTAGATTGGCTAAGAATCTGTTGCATACGGTTATCCAAAACTGGTATATTCGGGATCTAAAAATTACTGATTGTTTTAACAATTTATTGACAAATACACGACTCTGTTTGGATGCTTTTCAAAGGGAAGACTTGCAATCAATTGGCGAACTTTTGACCAAATATTGGCAAATGAAGAAAATTTTGGCCACAAATAGTGAGCCAAAATCGGTTTCGAAATTCTTTAACAGGTATTTTCACATTAAGTTTTAGACTTATTTTTTTGAGACAATACTAATGTTTTGTCAATAGGACTGAGCCATTCATACACGGAGGTGCACTTTGTGGTGCCGGCGGCGGCGGCTTTATCTGTGTTATTGTCAAACAGGAATCTTATAAACAGGAAGTCATGTCAATTGCCGGACAGTGTTTGACTACTGAATCTCAATTGTATGAATGCTGTGTCGATGAAACTGGTATTGAGATAACAATAGACAATCAGTTATATAATTTACAAGATTAACAAATTAAAGCATTTTAACACATAATACCAAATTATAATTATTTATTTTTTATTTATTATAACATATCAACTAAAATGTTAATTTCTCCAAAAAAAATTATTGATATTTTTTTATGAGTGATTGTGCAGTACTACAGTATATTTTTTATAATTGTATTTTATTTGTATCATATTATATCCAGTTATTTAATTTTGCTATTTTAAGCATAAATTTCAATGTGAACAATCCTATAGTCAATTATGACTACTAATTTATAAAACTTTTATTTTTATTTATAATTTTGTACACAATTAATAAATCTATTAAATAATTGTAATCTCAATCTCAAATAATGGGATAATTGATATCTATATATATTTGTATACACTATTTATTAAAATCATGAATAATTTTTAAGCAAAAATACAATTACAATTTATAACTTATTATTTTATTAATAAATTTAAGAAAATTTGAAATAAAAACAAAATATTAATACTTTATAAAGTACAGTATTATTTTAGCATAATCTTATTTCCAAAAATAGCTTAACTAAATATTTATGAGAAAAAAAGTATTTAGCGGTAATAATAATAATAATTTATAAATTTACAAAAATTCAATTAAATACTAATACAATAGTAATTATTATAATATTAAATATGAATAAATTAAAAATCTGAATCTTAAGCCATAATTTATGAGTCGCTCTGATCGCTAAATCGATGGTCACTCTCATCATTGTCTTCAGAGCGAATCATATGTAAAACAATCAAATTAATTGACACAAATTGTGTTAAATCCAATTCATTGAATAACAACAATTTGATTAAAATCAATTTAATTACAGTACCGGTATGTATCAAAACTTATAGATAATTATAATTATTTTAGTATTATATGATAACAATACAAACAGCTATTTTTTAATCACTTCGACTGCCTTTTTGCTATTAAGAGCCGGTAAGATGTCTTCATCATCCAAATCATCGCTAAAGTCGTCATCCAAGTCCTTACTAATGAGCGCCGACTTTCGTGTGGATTCAGTGGGAATGATATCGGATTCTCTGATATTAAAGTTCCTTTGTTTTCTGTCCTTTGCAAAGACAGGTGAGTCCAAGTCATCATCAGATGAATCTTCTAATGGATTGACTCTTTTATAATTTTTTTTCTTAATTTCTTTGTCGTTCTTTTCTTTTAAATGTTTGCTAGTCTTACTTTTGAAGGCACCATCAATACTGTCGACATCTGATTCAGATGAAGACTTGTACTCTAATCTTGGCTTAGGTTTAGCTCTTTTATCTTTATTTGTGTTTCCGGTAATCTTACTCTTGGCCGACAAACCCATAATTCGATCAAACTTATCGTCGGACTGTTTCTGAACGCCGTATGTTATCTTCGACGACCTGTTGACTGTCAAGTTCTGACTCGGATTAACATTTGTCACCGAATTTTCATCATTTGTCAATTCAATTGTTTCTTCGTTAGTTTTATCGACATCCGAAACTTTCGACGGCTCCGAATCAGCAGTTATTTCGACGGTCTTATTATTGTCGCTCTCTTGAGTAGTATCTTGAGGTGTGGGCCAATCATTACCATTGACAGAGTCAACCAATTCATTAGATTTTCGTTTGACTTTTTCATTATCTTTTGGCTGAACAACAACCGATGCGATCGTACAGTCATTGGTTGTCTGCAAACGAGACTTACTGCGATCGGTAGACAAATCAAAAATGACCACTTCGTCGGTATTGGTGATCACCTCTTCGTGAAAATCTTTTTCAAACGAGTCGACGGCATCGCGAAAAGCGCTAATAATATCAGCGAAATCTATTTGCGGCCGAAGAGATCGTTTTGTGATCTTTTCGTTACACAGCGGACACCGACAGTAGTCCGGTGTCGACGAATTGTCAATGGCTTTGTTAATACATTCACCGCAAAATCGATGTACACAACGGGTTACCATTGGATTAGTCATCAGCTGAAGACTATCGACAAAAAGTATGGGATATTTAGTTTAGTAATAATAAAAAAGTGAATCAATTAGTCCATTGACACAAAAATACTGACCAAATGGGACACTCAACCAATTTCTTCATTTTGAGCAATTCGTGTCTTAAGCTTTGTTCGCTATCCGATAACATTATTATTGTTTTCTTTTTTTTTGTCACTTCAATTGATCCGCAAAAGTATTAGTATTTTAGTCAATCATATACTGTTCTGCTGCAATAAAAGTGAGAATTATACTGTATTGAAAAGTAACTTTATATTTGTGCGACCCATTGTAATATTTACAAATTTTGTTTGTTGACAAAATATAACAGTCATTACTAGTCTTCAATTGTGTTATTAAATATTTGTGATATCTCTTGTGATGGAACCGTTAGAAGGCCTAAACTCACATGACGTTCGGGTGAGATATGCCATGGAATATGAATATTGTCGCGGAACTCCACCATCAATAGCCGCAGCAAATATCAATGAGGTCTACCCGAAAGCCGTTGGTGAGAGCACATGTTATCGTTGGTGGAAGAGATGGAAAGAAGAAGGGGTTAATGTAGAAGACAAAGAAAGACCAGGACAACCATCGAAGATTGACAACGAAGTATTGACGGATCTGATTGAAATGAATCCAAAATTTTCAACTAAAGAGCTCGGTGATATACTTGAAGTTGATGCTACTACCATTCAAAGACATTTGAAAGCCATTGGCAAGAGATATGTGTCATCTGTTTTGGTACCACACGATCTCACTCCTCAGCAAATGGCAAAACGTGTAGAAGTATGCCAACAATTGCTTTCTCGAGAGAATTCTGACGGTTTTATAAGACATATGATAACCGGTGATGAAAAGTTGATATACTATGTCAACGCTGATAAAAGGAGTGAATGGAGAAGTCCGGAACAACTACCTGTTGGGACACCACGACCAGATTTTCGTCAACAGAAAGTAATGTTGTCTGTTTGGTGGGATAAGACGGGAATAATCCACTGGGAACTGTTGGAAGTCGGAGCCACTATTACAGCTGAAGTCTATTGTCAACAATTAACAAGACTTCGTGATAAGCTTTTCGAAAAGCGTGGTTCATTGATAAGATATTGGGGCGTTAAGTTTCAACAGGATAACGCCCCATCACATACTGCAAAGAAGACCAAAGATCTATTGAAGAAGTTTGGGTGGGATGTTGTGGATCACCCACCATATTCACCAGATATTGCTCCTTCAGATTATTATTTGTTCCGATCAATGCGACACTTTCTTGATGGAAAAAAATTCAAAAATCGAGAAGAGGTCAAAATGGCAGTTCAAGAGTTTTTCGATTCACAACCAGAGGAATGGTATTCCAAAGGAATTTATGAGTTGCCGAACAAATGGAGAGATGTCATAGATTTAAATGGCAATTATATTATTAATTAATAAAAATTAACTTTTTTGTAAAATCAAATTAAAAACTTGCTATTTTATTCTCATGATTATTGCAGCGGATCAGTATTTCACAATCAAATGCAATGCAATAATAAAATTGCGCTAAAATTTTTGTGCCAATAGTTTATACTTTTATTACAGTAATACTGTATATAAATGACGTAACAATTTTCAATTTATTTTTTTTGTGCAAAATTATTGGCGTTTTTTCAGACATCAAACTTACCGTTATGTCTGGCCTACGGACGACCCGTCGGGTAAAAAAAATTTACAAAATAAATCATATTTAAAACTAACGTATAATTTGACAAAATTTTTCTTTAAGTTTTATTCTTTCTGTTTATTTGTTTGTTTGATGAAATCTATCGTAAAAAGTGACTACAAATTCATGAAATTTAATGGCAATAATTGTAGTGAAAAAAACGTTTTTAAAAAAAAACATTTACAGTATTATCGGTAATACTGTATTATAATTTAAGTTTCGGTGTCACACAAAACAACACATTTTTTTACTGATAATAAACATTAACCGTATATCCAAATATACAGTATATATCATAATTTATACTTTTGTCACATACTGTATGCCAAATGAGATACTTAATAAAAAAATTAAATGATATTAATTTTGTGTTAATTCGTTGACATTGATATTGTATTCAATAATATAGATGAATACACCACAAAAACTACATGTAATCAAATCGCTTAAATCCCATATAACAGGTAGTCTTAAACTCGAGATCGGATCATATCGTCATTCATATGTAGACCACCACTTGAACTCCAATTACCCATTGGTCTGATACGATGGTTATCGGCTCCTCCCGATCCGTTGCGGTAATAATTAGTTGACGTTGGCTCCCGTTTTATGTTATTATTATTATGACTGGTCGAAGAATTTGAATGCAAAAACAGCTCAATGTATCGCTTTTCTATAAGATATAATATAACCAAAAATAATTAGTTAACAATAAATTTTTAATTACTGTAATTAATTTATGATTTTTTTACGGATAAAAGCTTTGTCTTTGTTCATGGCTTTTACGGCGTCATCATGAGTGGCAAATTCAACATCAGCCTCACCACTGGGTCGGCCCAAGTCATCCATCAGTATTTGTACGCTAATTGGTCTCAACGGCAAAAAGAACTCATAGATTTCGCCTTCAGTTGTTTTAAATGGCAATCCTCTCATATGGACATTATGTCGATTTGAAAATGGCATCGAATTTTGATGCGAAGGTCCTTGAGGTGGGTATTCATCAAATGTAGCTCCAAATTGATCATCAAAAGAGGAACGACCTATAATAGGATTCAAATGAAAATATTCATAATAAATATTATAATAATATTTTTTATAATAACACTTTCAAAACCTCTAAAATCCATTTCTTCGTAATCGTAGACACGTCTGTATGAACCGACAGGTGGGGGTCCTCTGGATGCTCCTGTTATTGGCGATCCATAATTATCATTACCATTACCGTAGAAACCACTGCCACCACCACCACCACGAAATCTGTTAGGATATGGCACTGGACGTGATGGCGGATGTCCGTAACGCATCTTATGGTTAGCGGCGTATGGCGGAGGCGATGATTGAGGCGGCGGGCCGTAGCCACCCGATGGACCGTCGAGTCCGTAACCGTGCGGCGGTCCCGATGAATATTGTTTAGAATCCATATATGAATTTATTTGACGAAACTCTTGGAACGAACTTTTGAATATTTCAATGTACCTAAACATACAGCACAGGTATGCCATTTATACATATTAATTGTAACATTTAAGCCAATTTAAAACCCAAATGAGAAGCATATAGGCATTGAGATCATTAAAATAATCAACAAAATAAAGGATTTTTAAAAAATTAATTAATTATATAAAAATTAACTAAAATTTGGTTAGTTTTGGGGATTAAAATATAATCTAAAAATTGGTTTTGATATCCAAATATAAAACATTATTCTTAGATACGTATAGTTTTGTATATACATTAGATATTCGATATACAATAGATAATACTATACAGATATGAACAATTAGGAGGTTTAAGTGCCCTCCTGTTTGGTGGTAGTGACAAACCCAACATTTTATGACATATGGGGTGATATAGAGGATAGATTAAGATCCCAGTATGTAATAGCCCACCTGTGCCCAATCTTATCCTTGTGTTTGCTCATGGCTTTGTCTGCATTATCTCTGGTAGCAAACTGTATGTATGCCTCCCCTGTGCTCCGACCCGAATGATCTGTTGGCAGTACGATCCCATCCATCACTAAATCCAACCCTTTATATGAGGGATTTGAGTTAAACATTATAAGCCATTAACCGATATTATACCCACATATTATTATAAGTTACCGTTTAATTAGTTATAATATATAATTATCTAATTATTGTCTTAAACTAAATCGTTGTCTTTAGTATTTTTTAATCATTTTATGCTCTATAATGACATTATAAATGTTTTTATCTAATTATTGTAAATTTTCTAAACTAATTCACATCTACGGTCATCACATTACCGAAAGGATCCATTAGATAACCAAATGGTAATACAAAATACCGTAAATACCGATATAATAGTATAAACGATATGTATTTAAAGCATTAAATAAATGTCATCAACACATATGATGGCCTTAAAAGACATACCAGAAAAAAACTCAATGACATCGTCCTTATTGGCGCTGAACGGCAGTCCCCGAAGTCGGACAAACGAGTCTTCGTGGTGTTGATTGTCATTGAGATCATTGCCGTGTATTCGACCAACTCTTTCCATTTCAGACTTCTTTGAGGCGAACACTTCTATATATCTGTTCAATGGATTTCAATTGTGTTATTATTAGATCCAAATGTTGAAGTATAACACAAACAACAATCACAAAGTAATCTCTTTGATTGTGTCAAACCTCTGTCCCAAATGTTTGTGATTTCTGTCGAGAGCTAAGTTGTAGTCCTGTTCAGTGGCAAACTCGACGTACGCTTCACCAGATGGTCGACCCTCGCGGGACAGTGTCATCAAAACACCATTCAAACCATTCTTTATATTACAACCTTTAGATTGATTATATGACAAGATATATACATTTGATATTATAATCAATTGATCCAATAAAGTCATGTGTCATTTGCATACCATTGAAGAAGTCGACAATCTCTTCTCTGGTCGTTTGCCACGGAAGACCTCGGATGCGGACCACAAACGCTTCGTCTGACATCATAAATATGGTCACAATTAAGCGATTATTGATTCAATAGTCTGTTGTTTTGGTCGTCTATTTCACATTCAATGAGTGTTTGGATCAACTCATGTGATCATACATTACAATCAATCATACAATCAATCAGTCATTTATTATTTATATTCAAAAACACAACACAAAAGTGCCGAAAATGACAGTCAGTCTAATAATAATAATAATAATAATACTCTACTGTATAGTACTAACAGTCGATTTCGTTAATAATGTCTAATATTAGATACGAAAAGTTTGGATACAATTTAAATGATTTGTATTTCATGTAAAACATAAACTTTTTATAACAATTTATAAAAAAAAAATTAATAAAATAAATAAATATTAATTTTTGTATTTTTATTATTTAAATAATTTAATTTGTATTTTTAACATGCATAATCTTTTATTTATCATAAATTTTAATTAATTATTTAGTTACCAAAAAAAAAATTTAAAATGCTATTTTTTAATTTTAACAAAATGTCTATAATTTATCTATCATATATATGTATTAAATTAATATGTTTTATCATGCTAGAATAAATTTTTCAATCTATTCTATCATTCAAATATTATATATTAATTTAATATAATTAGTTGTGTATATAATAATATGATTTGTATGTATCGACAACAACACAAAAAAATGCAATAACATTGAAATCAAGTGAGTCATTGACGAGTATACACATAGTTTGTTATATATTAGTCCACATAATTAGTTACCCAAAAAAACAACTTTTTATTACTGATAATAGCAATGCATTTACTCTTTTTTTGTTGTGTTGTTTCGACTCAATTAATAGAGTAGTGAACAATCCGTTTGCAATAATAATCAATACGTTATTTGTGAAGATTAATGAAAAAAATAATATATTATGTGTTAAACTATATGTTTGTCAGTAATAATAAATACAATAATATTGTCAAACAAACAGTGGTTTCGTTTTTATTGAATTTGCAAACAAACAGTTTGTGTGACAATCAGTGTTGAGTTTGAATCAAATATTAATAAATATTTTATAGTTTTCTCATTTGAATTCATATTTTATTATTAAAATTATTTGATTTATAAATAAACTATAAATTAGTTTTGTTTTGTTTTTTTGATTAAAAAAATTAACGACACATTTATGTTAATGTTTTTGACACCGATTTGATTAACACATCCATCACTTCTTTGGCATTTTGTTGTTGTTTGGTCTGACATATCATAATCAATACACACATCGGCGGACACATTGCGGACATTGACAACACATACCACACATCAACACAAACACTAGCCATGAGTTTCCTATTGTAAGTATAAAACCAAATACAATGATAATTATTGATTGTTTTATTGTCTTCGGATGAAGTGGTGGTCGATCTAATAAGACATTCAAACCTAAGAAGAACATCCCGGAGGGCACCCATCAGTACGACCTGATGAGACAGGCGGCCGCCACACTTGGCTCCGGTAATCTACGGCTGGCTGTTATGCTACCCGAAGGCGAGGATATTAATGAATGGGTGGCCGTTAACAGTATGTCTTAAAGTTTTTTTTTAAAAAATATTTTGATTTTTGTTTATTTCTGACACCAAATATATACCTGTTCTCTGATATCACATATTCAATGATAAATCAAATTTTAATTATCATATAATAATCATTTATTTTAATGTCTCTTATTATTTATATTTGGGTTATAAAAAAAATTTATTTATAATATTTTTGTTTTGTAAAATTTGAATATTACAGTAGTATTTTTATATCAAATATTTTTTTTGCTATATTTTTAACGTTAATTTTATTATTTAAATCAATTATTTATCTATGATTTCTAGTATTGTAACTATGAAAACCTATAAAAAGCAAAATATGTGTGAAATTAATTAGATTTTTTGATTTATTTGTAACATTAGGTATACAGTATTGTCAATGTTATGTCAAATACTTAATGAAACACTTTTATGATGATTACAATATTTGTTTAATAATAAGCTATAAATCATACATATTCAAAAAAAACTTGAAAAGTTTTGTTTTCTGAAATCTATACGAGCCTTTTGTGTGTGTGTGTGTGTGTGTGTGTAGCAATTTTTTTGCGAATTTTGAAATTCTGACTTCAGATTCGGTTAGAGGACTACTAATAATGTATTGAAAAGTTGAATTAAAATTTTGATATTTCTTCGGGAACATGGACAAAATGGCTGCCAAAGTAAAAAAAATTTTAAGAAATTTTTTTAAAGTATAGATTTGAATAAAGCATCAAAAGCAAGCATAAGAAATATGCATTAAAATTTTGATATCTCTTCGGGATCATAAAGAAAATGGCGGCCAAAGTCAAAAAATTTTTAAAAACATTTAGAATTGTATAGAGCATCAAAAATATGATATAATATTTCAGCATATTTTTTAAAATGGCGGCAAAAGTATAAAAAAATTTTAGAATTTTTTTTAATTATAGATTTGAATAAAGAATCAAAAACAAAAATAAAAAAATATGCATTAAAATTTTGATATCTACGGGAACATTAAGAATAAGTATAAGCGGCAAAAGTATAATTATAAATGATTATTTTGTTATACTTAATCATTTGATACCCTACATGACTATAGTTGTTTATTTTGTCAAACCGAGTTATTTGATACCCCACATGACAAAAGTTGAATTTATTTTGTTATACCTAGTCAATTGATACCCTACATGACTATAGTTGAATTTATTTTGTTATACCTAGTCAATTGATACCCTACATGACTATAGTTGAATTTATTTTGTTATACCTAGTCAATTGATACCCTACATGACTATAGTTGAATTTATTTTGTTATACCTAGTCAATTGATACCCTACATGACTATAGTTGTTTATTTTGTCATATCGAGTCAATTGATACTCTACATGACAATATTTATATAATGTATATTTGACCAGTTTTTAAATTTTTATATATTATATAGCCGCTATAACTAATGGTTTTCAATGTTATTCAAGTTTTTTTTCTGAAAATGCTTTCTAGCATTCTTAACTGGTTTATTATTATTATTACATCTATTATATTATTACACATCACTTTATATTTAGACTATTTTGTAAATATAAAAGCATTGTATATTTATAAAAGTATTTTTATTATTAGTTATAATCTTATCTATTATGAGATCTAAATGAAAACAATACATAAAAAACATATTAATATAATAGGATAAAATCATTTGCCATATAAATTGTTAAATGAATGATATAATGAATACATGAAAACATGAATTATATATTTATTTTTTACTTTTTATGGGCTAAGCCTTCAAAACATATTAAGTGAATTATGTTGTTATGACTCTTCCGGGAAACTATTGTTTTTTTGACGACTCATTTGTTTTATTGAATCCAATTATTATACAATTGACTTATTTAAATGTCATCATTTCTCCCCTATGCCTGTAATCATCGCCCGACCCATCAAACAGCTGTCGATTTTTTCAATCAGATCAATATGTTGTACGGAACGATCACCGAATTTTGTACGGAAGAGTCGTGTCCGCTGATGTCTGCCGGACCCAAGTATGAGTACCATTGGGCCGATGGCCAGACGGTCAAGAAGCCGATCAAGTGTTCTGCGCCTAAATATATAGATTACTTGATGACATGGGTTCAGGATCAGTTAGATGATGAGACACTGTTTCCATCCAAAATAGGTTTGTTTTATTTTTGTTGTCTGTTTTTTATATAAAATATTTAACTTTTATGTCGATTTTGTCATTAAAGGAGTGCCGTTTCCCCGAAATTTTAACGCCATTGCAAAAACAATATTAAAACGACTGTTCAGAGTATACGCCCATATATATCATCAGCACTTCCAAGAAGTGGTTCAATTGGGAGAAGAGGCCCATTTGAACACTAGTTTCAAGCATTTTATATTTTTTGTTCAGGAATTTAATTTAATTGATAAGAGAGAGTTGGCGCCGTTAGGCGAACTAATTGATAAATTGGCTACCGGTCCACACACTACTCATCATAGCCATCATAATACACACACTTCCAATTCCGAGAGTACTACTGGTCATATCTCGACACTACCGGCCCGTTGAAACGCGCCTTAAATCTCAAATATGTCTACTTTCTATTACATATAAATAAATAAATATATATATATATATACGTAAACACTATTTATAAGTGCCTAACATTTTGAGAAAACAATAAATCAATCTAAACATAACATTGAATACTAACTTAAATTAAATTATAAATATTAGTAAAAATTTATTTATGTAGACACACATTTTTCTCTGTCATATTACATATTAATTATATTTAATTTTGTTTTGTTATACTTTGTATTTTTTTAGTTTTTATAAAGGAGTTAAAGTGCTTATAATAACAAATAATTAACAAGAATTATATAATTATAGTATATATTTGTTTTTATTACAGATTTTTTGTTATTATATATAAATATATTCAATAATTGTAAGAATGAGTGAAATGTTTTTTCGACATTTGAAGTGATAAGTGATATTTGTTTCTATCTTTAGGTTTGAATTTCTTATCAATTTTCGCACATTTTTTTATAAATTTAAGTTTATATATATATTTATATTGTATTTTCTTGTAATTCAGTTGTTTTGTTCAATACAATTATATAAATTTTGAAAAATATTAATTTTTGTAATGTTTATTTTTATTATCAATGAAGTTATAATTATCATATACAGTATATGAGTATTATTATTATTATTATGTTTTTTAATCTATTTTTTGCATTAATTGCTTATATTTGAAAAATTCTAATAAATTATTTACAAAGTTGTGTAAATTTTTACTTTATTATAACATATTGTTAGTTCATTTTGTTAAACATAGTATATATATATATATACTTTATTTGCTATAATTGCATAGTTAAACACCCGGATATGATATAATATATTCTAATACAGTATATATAATAATATCTGTGTTTTTTTCATTAGAATTTATTTTAGTTTTAATATTTCAACTAATTATTTTTATTTTTATATTTATAATTTTATTAGATTAATAAGTTAACTAATTTTAATTTCAATTATTTTATTGATTTTATCATAAATTTCCTGTTATTATTAATTTAAGTTATTTTATAGTTATTCTTAAGAAATCATTGTATAAACTGGATATTAATAATTTAGTATTTAAATTAAATATATAGTAATTTATATGTGTTAACGCCTTATTATATCATTAACGCCATAACGCCATTAACGCCTTATTATAAATATTTATTTTTATTAAACTTTATTTAGACTCTAAATTTTTGAATATAAACATATAATTTAGCAAAAAGTTTTATGTATATTAATAATATTGATATTATATGTGTATTATATATGATATCTAATTTTTATTCATTTTGTCATCTTTTCCGACATCAATCTTATCATTTGATTTATCTTTAGGAACACTTGTATTGCGATCTTTTGGTGCATTTTGGTCACCAATGGATACAATACTCATATTTATGAGATGCGGTGTCGACAGTATAGCGATTCCCAAGAATGTCAACAAAACGATTATCATATGTGCTATCATTGATGTAAACTGTGGACTGTTTGGGTCACTCCGTATCCAGCATTTAGATAAGGGTTTCAAACTATACTCATTTAACGATACATTCTCACAGTTGGACATTGAATTGTTGACATTATTGTTAATCTAGATATACAGTACAGTACGATATTTTTTTTTAATTTTTATAAATGTTTTTATATTTAAATAGTAGAATAGATAGGAATAAATTAGACATATATATCAGTGATTGACTACAATTAATAATGATTGTGTCAAACCTCGTAATAGCAGATAAAATAAATGTCATCTTTTAGCAGATACAGTGGTAGTGTGTGTTTATATATGTCATCAAAGTATGCAGCATTAAATGGTCCCTCCGATGATATCAATAGCGTATTATTCATAATATATTGCCATTTATTATCTTTAAATCTACACTCCACGGTAACATAATTGGTATCTGATTTTTTATCAAAAAAAAAATTATATCCATAAAACATAAATATAAAGCAAAATCAATTATACCTTGAAATATGATAACTGTTTCATATGCTATGGCAATAGCATCGATACTTTTATGCCAATCGATGATATCTTTGGTTACATTGAATGCTTCAAACTGTGACCACTCCATCAAAGTCCAGTTCCACGGTTTAACAGTTCCGTAAAGTATTTCATTTTTGCCATTTTTTTCGTTAAAATTTAACAAAACTAATTTATTGGTAAACTCAGGCATACATTTAACTGTCGATCCATAATAAATGGATGCATCGATTTTGGACCATTCAGTAGTTATGCCACTTAAATGTTTAGCATTTTTATAAGACACCTCATCCGACTCGCTAACTAACCAATACATTTGATTGTTTGTAGATATGAAATAGTGATTGTCATACAATTTGGACAGTGATGTTATGGTTGTGAGATAGCAATCAATATTATTATATGTGTCATGCGGTCGGACAACTGTCTCTGTTTGACGACTGTCCGTATATTCATAAGATATTATATTGATTATCACAAGTAGTCTAAAATCATACATAATTAGTAGTACTATAATTCAGTAAAATATAAATTAATATTTTGAATAAAATAAATTGAAAACATAACAACTATTTATTGAAAATTGTTGATTCAATTAATATCTCGCGAACCAAATATTTGAATTTAAATATTTTTAATTAACAAACGGTTTAAAAAAAAAAAATATCCGTTAAACTAATGGTAACTCAGAAGACTAGAAGTTTAGTTTATTTACCACTAAAAGACAATTTTTGTTAAATAAAAAATTAGACAATTTTTAACTATTTAAATATAAAATACAGGTTTATTGATATTTTAACAGAATTTTATTGCAAATTTGAATAAAACAAATACAAGAATTTTTTTTGAATAAAAACTACATTTCATTTGATTCTTCGATTGAAATCTGAGACCACTTTCTTCACTCTTTACTCGTCATCGCAACTCTTTCGGCTTCTTCTTCGTCTGCGACGGTGACCACCTTTTCGGCCACCAGATCGCGATCGGCCTCTTCGGGATCGGGAACGCCTTCGGCTCTTTCCTCCCGAATGTCTTCTGCGACGTCTGGTTTCCATAACCTCTCCACCCGAACCACCAGAAGGAAGTGTCTTCTCTTCAGACTCAACGTCGACAGCAATGGATTTCGTTTTCATTTTTGATTTTGAATTTTGTGAACTAATTGAATGAAAAATAAATATGAAATGATTTGAATTTAACCGAAACTACACTTTTTATACGAAACCAACAATTGATGAAATGTCTCGCATTTTATCTCTCGAGATATATATTTGTTAAACAATCAAATCTCTAATTATTTAATATTTTTGTTGATTTAAATTTAAATATTTTTTAATTAACGATTTTTCAAAATAACCGTTAATTTTATGATAATTCGAAGACTAAAAATATCAGTTATTTACCACTTAAAGACATTTTTTAGATAAAAATTAGACAATTTTAGAAAAAATATTTTTAAATAAATAAAATAAATTTATTAATATTTACAAGAATTTTATTGCAAATATAAATAAAACAAATACAAAAAATTTTGAATAAAAACTACAATTCATTTGATTCTTCGATTGAAATCTGAGACCACTTTCTTCACTCTTTACTCGTCATCGCAACTCTTTCGGCTTCTTCTTCGTCTGCGACGGTGACCACCTTTTCGGCCACCAGATCGCGATCGGCCTCTTCGGGATCGGGAACGCCTTCGGCTCTTTCCTCCCGAATGTCTTCTGCGACGTCTGGTTTCCATAACCTCTCCACCCGAACCACCAGAAGGAAGTGTCATCTCTTCAGACTCAACGTCGACAGCAATAGATTTCGTTTTCGTTTTCATTTTGATTTTGAATTTTGTGGACTAATTGACTAAAAAATAATTTTGAAATGATTTGAATTTAACCGAAACTACACTTTTTATACGAAACCAACAATTGATGAAATGTCTCGCATTTTATCTCTCGAGATATATATTTGTTAAACAATCAAATCTCTAATTATTTAATATATTTGTTGATTTAAATTTAAAAATATTTTTTAATTAACAAACGGTTTTTCAAAATAACCGTTAATTTTATGATAACTCGAAGACTAAAAAATATCAATTTATTTACCATTTAAAGACATTTTTTAGATAAAAATTAGACAATTTTAGAAAAATATTTATAAATAAATTTATTAATATTTACAAGAATTTTATTGCAAATTTGAATAAAACAAATACAAAAAATTTTGCATAAAAACTACATTTCATTTGAATCTTCGATTGAAATCTGAGACCACTTTCTTCACTCTTTACTCGTCATCGCAACTCTTTCGGCTTCTTCTTCGTCTGCGACGGTGACCACCTTTTCGGCCACCAGATCGCGATCGGCCTCTTCTGGATCGGGAACGCTTTCGGCTCTTTCCTCCCGAATGTCTTCTGCGACGTCTGGTTTCCATAACCTCTCCACCCGAACCACCAGAAGGAAGTGTCTTCTCTTCAGACTCAACGTCGACAGCAATGGATTTCGTTTTCATTTTTGATTTTGAATTTTGAGGACTAATTGAATGAAAAATAAATATGAAATGATCTGAATTTAACCGAAACTACACTTTTTATACAAAACCAACAATTGATGAAATGTTTCGCATTTTACTTCTCGTGATATTTGTATATATTTGTCAAACAATCAAATATATAATTATTTTATATATTTTATGCTAAATTGAATTACAAATTACCCGAAGTTATACTATTTGAAGGTATTTAAAAAATTCATTTTTTTAGATTTCTTATTAAACAAAATATGTCTTCAATTTGTGTCATATTTTTTATATCAATCAGTTATTATATGTTGTTTTTATGTGTATTATCCGATGACTTGGATTATGTCTATCAATATAGTAATGATAATAAAGACCAAAATGTTGATAAAAGTAATTCATTGGATATTAATAAGAAACTCATTAAAAGTAAAAGTGTCTCAAATGAGTCGTCCAATTCAATGATAGTTTTAGTGATCATTTTAGTCATACTTTTGATGATTATCTCTTTGTATGCATTTTATGATAAAATCTATGACAAAGTCGATGTCAATACTATTAGAGAACAGTTGGGTAATAGTAGTTATCAGTGTTGTCAGCAAATTAAAAATTCAGAGATTTCACAACAACTTCAACAAAAAGTCAGATCAATGAAAGCGTCTCTTTTAGGACAACAACAACAGTCATCCAAAGTAAATCCTGTTTACCAACAGTTGCCACAATGGGACAGTTCTCGGGAGTCAAGTCCCCAACACCTGACCGATCCATTGGTCAAAATTCAAACTTCATTTGGCGGCAAAAAATTAGACAATATTGTCGTCGAAAAGAGCTTTTCCAATGATTCCGATTCTGAAGAAGAGTTATTTAATATTAAAAAACCATTAATTGATATATCAAAAGCTAAATCACCGAAAACTAGTTTTGATGGCTAAAACTAGTTTTGTTTTTAAAGAAATATATATTTATATACTGTATATATATATATTGCTATCTTTATTACAACAGTATTATTTAGATTTAAAAGTATTCATATATTGTTTATTTACTGTATATAACTTTCTATTATTTATCCACAATAAAAAATTAAACTATAAAATTGATAACAAAATTGTAAACAATTTTTCTATCGTCACATGTATTAATATACAGAATAATGATAATTAATTTTTATTGCGTTAGTTGATTACATTAGTTATTTATAGTTGTGTTTAAATAATAAATAATATAATTTATTAAATAATTTATCATTTAATTATCAATTGACAAACACTTCAAATTATATTTTTAACAAATACAATGCATTTTTTCAATTGATTTATAGTTATTCATTAGTACACTGTATCTAATGTTTCAAAAAATATCGGAATAAAACAGAAAATACTGAAACTTGAAAAAATAAGACAAAAATATTTTTAAAAAATAAAAAATTTATGGCATTTATTATAATTTATTCAGCTTTTGGGGTATAGGGAGGCGGTGGGGGCGGCATATGTGCCAAATAATTGTGAGATTGTGATGATCTATCGTTATATGGATATAAGGGGTATCGTCCGTAAGGCTGTCTCATATGTTGTCCCGGTGTATAGTCATAGTAGTCTAACGGTGCCGTTGGCTCTGTTGATGGTTCGTTGTCAATGATATGAAGGTTTCTATCAATATAATTATCATCACATCTGACATTATTATCATCAAATTGAATGTAATCTTTTTGGTTATTCTTCTTCGACGAAGAACTACAGCAACACCAACAACAACAACAGCCACAACAATAGCACAGAAGGAACAGTGCTATAACTATAGCCATCATTACAATGATGGCTACCATCCGACTTGTCTGGCGATCGGCCAAACAGACGGTCACATCGGATAGATCTTCGCAAACTGTATTTCCATCGCAACGATATTTCGATGAAATGCATCGATTATGACCACACAATATCTCATTCTTCTGACATTTTGTCGATAATCTATATGTTGTTAAATTGATGTCAAAATTCTTATATTTTGTTGATTCCGAAGAGCGACCTGTTTTGAAATTAATCTTTACTTTTCTGTCCGTCACATATGAAACAATATCCGATGAGTCAGTGATCTCAGAGCCCGTCCACACGGGTTTCAGTGATTTATTTAGATCGATCTCCAGATGATCGACTACTGGCCTCAAATTGATACGATTGACTGTAACTATAATACCGTATCCCTTATTGACTTCGACTTCAAGGGAACAGTCAATAAAATTGTCATATCTTGAGGCTGTGATCCCGATTGAAGTCAGATCGTCATCCAAGTCGATGGAGGCGTCATCCGAGTATTTGCCACAAAATTTTGTTATATCATACTGTTTGTGGTGATCACCACTTAAGACTTGGTTAGTACACAAACACAATACTAGTAGTAATAGTTTTAGCAAATGGCATATCATTGCAATATTTGTCATAATTTTTAAATTTAATAATTATAATAATATTTTTACTACACTATATTAAATGTGATAATTTTAAAACTCTTTTAAACCATTATTATTTAATTAGTTATATTTTATATTATATTAAATGTATATACAGTACTAAAAAAATAAGTAATTATTAATTACAATAACTTTGATTATAATCCAGACTAAAAATTATGAAAATACTTTAATAACAACTCAAAACCAATTAAAAACATATTTATTGATATCTTATCATTAAATTGACGTAAAATGTTAGTCACTATTAGTGTACAATAAGCTCTCTATTTAGTCAAACAATTTATATAATAGTCTAAAACTAATATAATTTATTTACAATTAATTATCATTATTTTTTTTATTTAAATAAATGCGACATTTTATACATATTAGATACTAAATATTGTTGCAAACTTAAATAATAACACCTTGATAATTTGACAACTAACTTCTTTATAATGATTTTTTTTATTAAAAAAAACATTATGATCATATCATGTCTAAATAAAATTGTAATCATATAAAAATATATACATGTAACTATATAAACTGTACTATAGTTAATGTAAAATATTTCAATTCACCTATAAATTTATGTTTAAAATTTAGTGATAAACAAAATAAATATAATTTAAAATTATATTAGATATACTATACATATACAGATAATGATAGACGTATATAAACTTAGTGCACATTATTATATATAAATTAACAGTAAATTATTATCTTAATAATTATTTAAATGTTTAAATATTCTAAGCTTATTATGTACAGTAATATTAAAACAACACACACACACACACACACACACACACACACACACACACACACACACACACACACACACACACACAAACATACAATTTAAAATATATAAAAAATTTAACACTTTATTTAAGACATTTAAATAACATTAAATTATAGAAAACAAAATGTTATTAAACATAATACTTATAAATTTTATTTTACTTTTTGTTTGTTTATTATAAAGTTTAGTGTTTTCTCGAAAACTTTTCCAAATCAGACCTCAGTTTAGGTGCAAACAGATTGAGTTCGTGTTTCAAGTCCTGTACTTTTTGTCCCAATTTATCAAAATCATTGTCCAAATCAAACTGGTGTTTGGCTTTCCTCAGATCGGTCTGTATTTTGTTGACCAATTCATTTAAATCGATGAACTGTTTTGCATCCAATTTCTCCAATAGTTCTTTCACCTGACCTAATGAATTGTCCACTGAATAGACATCGGAGTCCACTTTAGATGGATTAGTGAACAGTTTGTTTTCATAGTTGTCTTCAATGTCTGCACATATGGCCGATGATACTAATGATACTATTAATACAATTAGTTTAAACATTATTATTGTTATTATGATATATTAATTGAAATTAATTGTAGTTTTATCTAACACCACAAATAGAAATTTTTAATAATTATTTGATTTTTATAATCTCAATTTGATACCTCTATTTTAAACGAAATTGAAATTTTTTTCTAAACCCGTATATAATAATAAAATTGACTTTTAAAATGCTGTTTAATTAATATACAAAAGTTATCTATAGTTACAAAAATATCATATTGTATTTATGCTGTAAATTAATTAAAATTACCTATATATACATATAATAATACTTTTAATGAATGTTTTATTTTTTTAGTTGACGAAAAAACTGGTAATTCATATAAGTTACAAATGAAAAGTTAGAAAATACTTGAAAAATAAAATAAAATCTAAATATATTTAATATATGAGTTTAAAATTCAATATTTAGCTTAATATAGACTATATTTTGATCAATTTGTTTCTTTTCAAACACACATCCATTGATTGTTATGAAATTGGGTTCAAATTCAAATATCCGTTTGCTTTGACTAATCTCTTTGTATAGCAAACCAACTGTAAAACCAATGATCAGATTAATCACTAGAAACATGACATCAAATATTGAGGCCCACGTCCTATCATAACTGTAGCCATAGTCACTAAACTTAAAATCTATTGATAGTAGTTTTTTTTAAAAATAAATTAATTTTATATTATCTATTAATTGATATTTTTTATTAACCAACTTTTGTATAGTTCAACAATTTGTGTGATTAGTCGAAAGTCAAGCAAAAGTGTGGACAAAAATACTGATATAAGGAACAGAAAGGCATACGATAGGCACTGTAGCCAACAAAATATGAAACCAGTGACCGATACGGACAACATCACCAAAATGAACATTATTTGCGCCAAAAACAATATCAAACCAAATCCAGTGAATGTTGTCTTGTGATTGACGTAAACTGTTTCATAGATAACTGATGTCAAATGTATGGCACGGATCAGATAGAGAAGCGAACAAAATGTTAAAAAATATTGCAAATCATAGGTTATGTATTCATCGTCTAAATCCGATTTATAGACTTCATCCAAGTCTTTATGTTCACTCTTGAGAAATGATGTCATATTGTTGTTGTTTTTTTCAATGCTTTTAATCCGTTTGCCTCCTCTGGTGGCCACCACTTGTGTTTTGCCTAACTTATGCATTAGTCTATATCTTTCATTGGGATCACCCATTTTACCGGCCCTTCCGATCACAAATATGTCCGGTGGTGGGGGTATTGTATTAGACATTTATTTCAAACTATTCAAAACCTATGAATCTTACTATCAAATTACTTGATCTTTTTAAAAATCTATAATAATTAATAATAATTATAATTAAAATACAATATTACAAATTCACGAGATAATCGATTTTTTGTCACTTAAATGTTTTATACAATTTTGTAATAATAGCATAGATTGTAACTAATGGATAATACTGTAGTAATATTGAACTTTATATATTAGTCTACATTATATCAATCTACACTAACTTATACTAACTTAAGTGAATATCGATAATAATAATACTGCATATAATTTAAATTAAGTATAAATAATATTTATTAAATTTTTCTATTGTTAAATATTATAAATGTTGATTTTTAAAAAAAATCATAAATACTCGTAGCTTTAACTTAATTTTTCTAAATGTATCTTAATAGTATTGATAATAAATAATATTACAAAACAGTTAATCAAAAAAAAATATGTATAAAATATCAATATTACTTTTTTTATTAATTTTTATTTTTATTTAAAACATTATAAAAGTTAGCTTCAAAATGCATGATGTGTGTCAATAATGTCTGTAATGAGTTTTAATTGATGTGATAGTTGTGGAAACAATAAAATTTTTATTATATTAGAAAAATTGTCCTAAATATGATAAAATTTGAAGTTTATGAGTGAATAAATTGAAAGCCACAATATTTTTTTTAAAAAAAGATAAGATAAATAAAATTGAATTAAATTTCTGACACAAACAATAAATAACATTTTAGAAAAAAACTATTAGATAAAAAAATCAATTATTTTTGATGTAATAAAAATTTATTGACAGATGAATCTTAATTATTATATAAAAATTTATTTTAAATACAATGGGATTCATTTAATAGAATATTTGTGTAAAATAAACAATAATAATAAGGAAATAATTTTTTTTTCATATATAATATAATATATCGATGAAAATATAAAATTTTTAAAATCAAATTAAATTCACGTTTCAAATGAAAGTTTGTAAACAACTAAATTTTAATGGGATTTTTTTAGTGTAACACAAAAAACTGGGAAAATTATTTTGAAGGCTAACAAACAATATTCATAATAAATATATTTAGATTGATTTCATTATGATATATGATATTGATTTATAATAAATATGTTTATTAGGTATCTAATGTAAAATTATACTTTTATTTAACCCCCTACTGTACAATCAAATAATACATAATTTTGTGTAATAAATGTAAATTAATATAACAAATTTTAATTATCTTTATTGTTTATTATAGTTATATTAATTAATTTTGAAAAGTTAATTTTTTTTTTTGAATAAAAAACTTAAATAATTTAAAACACAAATTAGATTTTATAAGTGACAATATTTGTGGTAAAGTTATTGCCGACAACAACAACAACAAAAAAGCCGCTGTCCTTGTCGTGTATGTATTCAATGATCAGTGATCGCTATAATTGTGTCAATGGTCTCAATATATAATTATTAAATAACATTAAACTTTTACTTAAAACGATAATTTCAAGTTTTTTAATATAAAAAAAATATTTTCCTATCAGTAATGCTTAAGACATATACAAAAAAATAGATGTCCGGTAAAAAATTGTTAAAACAATGTTAAAACAAATAATAAAAGTAATAATAATAATATTTATATCAAATATATATATATATATATATATATATATATATATATATTAAAGTTTTGAATTTCTAAAAATTTGTAATATTTATAAATATTTTTGTTGTGTTTTATAATAATAATACTAATTGTTAATCAATATGTTAATCGCTATATTTGTTGATTTGACATTAAGTTTGATTGTCAATATTGTGGATAAATTGCAAATTTTGTTAGACATCGGCAAACTGTTCCTATATTTAGGTGTTACCGATGTCTACAATCATGTAATCGCTTTTACATCATTAAGTCCCTCAATATTAATCAATGCCATTATGTTTTAATTTAATGATCTAAAACAAGTGCTTTACTATATTATTGATGTTATTGACTGCATTATAATATTATTGTAAATTTATATATGCGTGAATTCATGTAATTTTATGTATTGATTATTATACAATATATTATTTTTTCTGTTTCATAAAATGTTGTTTATCTAAAGTATTTATTTAAATAATTTCATAGATATAATGATTTAATAATCTATGCTAATTGACAATAATTTTTCCAAATTTATTTATTAGACATTATAATTAATTAATAAATATAATTTGAATAGTTTTATTATAATAAGCTCTTTATTATAAAGTTTATAAATATATCTAAATATTTTATTTTAAGTAACTTTATTAAATCAATTGTGTTATGAAAGTTATAAATAAATATAACATTAGTAATAATTGCCATTCAATTATAAATATAATGAATAGTTAATAATTTAATTTGCAATTTGACATTTCAATAATTTTATTCAAAACAAATTATATATATATATATAATAAAAGATTTAGATTATGAAAAGTCATTTAATGTATATTTACTGAATATATTCAGTATTAATTAAATCAAATAATTCATATAAATATTAAATTAAACACAGATCAATAATAATAATGTTTTTAAAAAAACTTGAATCTAATTTTAGTTAAAATATAAGTAATAGTAAAAATGTCATAACTTTTAATTGGCTAACTTTATGCTATAATAAAATAAAACATTAAATGTTTAGAAAAATATCTATATTGTTATAACAATTATTTAAAAATATTATTACAACAAAATATAGCAACAAAATATTAACTAATTATGCTATTATTATTATTACCGTTTTGTTAACTGTTTGTAACCAAGAGTTTCATTGATTAAATTGTGATAAATACCTAAAAACCTTTGATAACAACAAATATTTTTCTACTATTTATTTGTCTAATAAATTGTAAATATTTAATATCTTTTAAAATGTTACAAACACTTCAAATGTTATGATAATTAATTTATTAAAAAAAATACATTTACAATATAAATGTATAAATATTTTGTTGAAAATTTATTCTCATCTTAAAGTCAATGGCTTTTGCAGAGTCAGCCGTTTTGAGCTCTTGTTATGCAATAATCAATAGTCTATTGAAATCAATGGACTGTATGTCCTCTCCGATCGACAGTCTCGACGATTTGAAGGACGGATCAGTTTTGGTCGAAATAATGGAAAACTTTGATAACGCGTTTGACATATACTATGAACGCAAGTCTAATAGTAGTTTCATAAATAAATGGTTGGAAAGACAGGGCATATCATTGGGTGCCGAACGCAATGTCGACGAAATCTTCAAAAGCGGTCATAAAAGTCATCTAACAATGTTATGCTATGCATTGGCCACAGTTTTCTTACATAACTGTCCTTATCTGAGCAAAAAATTCAAATCATTCAAACTGGATGTAACACACAGTGAATTACTTAGCATTACATTGTATACTAAATGGCAACTTTGCGATGAGGAACTGGAGGTCAAGGAGATGGAGATTGTAAAAGCCAAACATAAACTACATGTCTATCGTAATGAACGTAAGACTATTCAAATGCAAAACGATTATCTGATGACTGAGTTGACAAAACTGAAGACACAGATCACCGAAATACAAGACAAGTCGAAAAAGACTGAAGAAGAACATAAAGTTCTTGTGGCCAGACTTATGGCAGAACTATCTCATCAAAAGTATAAATCTATGACCACTTCATTTGAATTTCAAATGTAAACATTGTTTTTTTAATTTATATTTTTTAAAAATAAATTAATTTTAATTTATATATTACAGTATAATAATACTATTGTATTAATTTTTATGTTTTAATAGTCTACTTTAGAAAAAATTTATCAAATAAGTATAGCTAACATATTATAGTAAACTTTATATCATATAAATTATACATTATTTTTACTATTAATAATTACTGTAGTGAGAGAGAGAGAGAGAGAGAGAGTTTGTGTTAATGATAATAATAGTACAATATATTGCTGATCGTAACAATAAAATTACACAAAAAAAAGTTATAACAAATATTAATAACAATAATATAAATTATTAGTAAATTATAAGTATGTTTGACTGTATCGTGACTTTATAGTGATATCATTAAATATAGTAAATTTTTATTATATATTTTAAAAAATATATTATTTCATGAAGCTTTAAATAAAATTAATATGATACATTGTTATTTTATATTATATCGCATTTATTTTATTTAATACTGTATATGATATATTTTTTAATTATTTAATATTTGTTGATAAATTAATATATTAAAAATATATAAATTATATACTGTATGTAAATTTGTTATAAATATTTGCTTTAAAAATACAATTGAAATATTAAGTGTTTTTCAGTAGTCTATAATTTATCCCAAAGTTTCATGACTAAGTCAATAAAAAATAAAAGTTGCATCAAAATTGTTTAACAATTATTTGCTAAATTTAATTGTTTAAAAAAAAATATTATTCACAATGTGTCTGTCAGTAATGTCAATAGATTTTATTGTCTAATAAAATAAAGTCTAATAAATTTCAAGGCTAACCATAAGGCAACAAAAAATTTATATTCAATATTTTTTTTAAAAAAAAAACTTGACTTTCAATAGACACCTATAAGTTAGTGAACCATTGGGTCAGCGAATCATTGTTATTTGTATTAATTTTTTGTGTAAAAATAAACAATTTTTTTTATTTATTAAATTACCTGTAAATAAATAACTCATACATTGGTTTATGGTTTTTTTATCACTGATAATGTCTACATAACTTATGGCAATAATTTTAAAATCGTGATCATGATAAATTTTTAGTAAGCATTCAACTTAGCAAAAAATATTGACTTTTTATTTAAACATAAGGATACTTATTATACAAGAGAAAAGTTATTATTATTATGATATTTAACAATATTATAGTTGTTATATAAAAATATTTTTTCATTATAAATAAATTGCCATTAAAAATAATTTTTTTTATTATAGTTTACATATGTTTTTTTATTTATGAATTTATTTTTTTAGCATCTTTATATAGAAATTGATTATTTAT